CAGAAGTCCTTTCTCTTTCTTTGTCTTCTGGAAAATTTTGTGTAAGGTTGGATTATATTTCTTGACTAGTGGGACTTACCTCTCTGTCCTCTTCCCTTAAGAAAAAGCACTTTTAAAAATGTTTCCCTTCTTTGGGATATGTTAGAAATTAATCTTTGTAATCTTTGTAATCTTTGTAAATGTTTACAAAGATTATATATATATGTATATATAGATATATATGTATATCTATATATACATATATATATCTATATATCTATATAGATCTGTATATATCTATATATATAGATATATATGTGTATATATATACATACACACACATATATATTTAATATATATAAATATATAATATATATAATATAATAATATATATAAATATATATAAATATATAAATATATATATATATATATATTTAATTCCAACATTACAGAAAAATATAAATAGAAAAAGTGTAAAATAATTTCTTTTTTTAATGATTTTTTTAAAGATGGTTCATCTTTTTTAAAAAAAAATTTTTTATTTATTTATTTTTAGAGAGGGAAGGGAGGGAGAAAGAGAGAGAGAGAGAGAAACATCAATGTGTGGCTTCTGGGGGCCGTGGCCTGCAACCCAGGCGTGTGCCCTGACTGGGAATCGAACCTGCGATGCTTTGGTTCGCAGCCCATGCTCAATCCACTGAGCTATACCAGCCAGGGCAGAAAAAGTGTAAAATAATTTCTTTAAAATCTACCCAGAGGAAATCAATCCACGTGTTGATGAGCATCCCTCTACGTACACATACATGTCTAAATTTTACGTGACTGGTACAGGTACACGTTATGCGTGAGCATCTGTAAGCTGCCTGCTTCCCTCAGCATTATGGCATGGAGATCCATTCACATCAGTAAATACAGAGATGAATCATAAATTGTGTCGATTACTTAGTCTGAATGGTACGGTCTCCTAGTGATGACTTAAAGGTTGCTTTCAGGTGTTTCTGTATTTTTTAACGTGTCGATGCAAGAAATGTCCAAACCTATAGAGAATTTTTACAAGTTCTCTTTGAACCAAACTAATGCTATACTCTGGGGAGCCAGGTCTCAAGTGCTCTGCAAAATAACAGCTTTGCAGCTTCTTTTCTGCATTTAAAATTAAGGCAGGGATGCAAAGAGGATTGAAAAAAGTAAGGTGGGGATTGGGTTACAAGACAGTTAACAAGACCGTGTTCTCTGAGAGGTTAAAACCCCCTTTCAAGGGGTAGTACAGCTGGTATTTCAGAGAACAGTGGACAGGCCTGGCTTAAATCCTTTCACTAAAGAACTTATATAAACATGGAGGGTTAGCAGCAGGGGAGTGGGAGGAGGAGAGAGGGAGAAAAGGTACAGAGAATAAGTAGCATAGACGGTAGGTAGAAAATAGAAGGGGGGGTAGAATAGTATGGGAAATGTAGAAGCTAAAGAACTTATGACACATGGACATGAACTAAAGGGGGGAATGTGGGTGGGAGAGGGTGTGCAGGGTGGAGGGGAGTGAGGGGGGGGTGAAATGGGACAACTGTAATAGCATAATCAATAATATATATTTTTAAAAAAGAAGTTAAATGCCGGGGCTGTGACTCTCCACCACAACCTGCCCACTTAGGAATTTATGATCAGATCACCCTGTGAGCACCCCCTTTTTTTTTTCATCCACAAAGGTAACAAAGGCACAATGAACATCCTTCTGTACATATACTTTCATATTTTAGTAGTTATCTCCTTTGGGTACCTCCTAGAAGAGGGTGCTAACCTACAAATAAAAGGCCAAAGTAAGAGGCAACGGCATGTGCTTGACAAGAAAAAAGAAAAAAGAACAGCTGCTCAGGAAGCACCAGTAGAGGCAGAAGCCCAAACGTGCTCCAATGAGGACACAGAGGCGGTGGGCATGATGGGAAAGGGGGTGGGAACAACTCCATCAGTAGAAGGAAGGCGTTTCCATTGGTGCAGAGAAGCCAACGCAGCGATGTGTATTCTAAAGGATGTTTTTAATTTTCAGTCTGGTAGTCCTAATATCGGCTTTCTAGCTATGCTTGCCAACCGTTCTTTGGGACACAGAGTCACCCTCGGCTCCGTTCAAAGGTTGCTGTGCCCTGTTTCAGCATCTTGAAGGTTTGAGGCACAAGACGTGTAAGGAGTACAAGGCATTTCCTCTGGGATGGGAGTTCCAGCTCCACTTTAAAGTGACCCCATTCACTCCGTCGTCATTATTTTTTACAAGGGGTTGCTGGGTCACAGGGTATGCACGTTTTAAATGTTTGCACATTTAAATGTTTGCCAAAACCCCTCTACAATGCAGGACAGACGGCACCTTCTCCTGCCTTCTGCTAGTCACTGTTTAATGAACAGGGAAACCACAGCAAAGCGAGGCCGAGGGAACGGGCTGATGGGTGGGGGCAGGGAGCACTCGAGGCCGCTGAGGGTGACTTGGGCTCTCCAGGGCCTTTGCGCTCCAGGTCGGACACCACGGGCCTAGTTCTGTGGGCTGTGACAGAAGATCGCGGGGCTGTGGTGTGGAGCCGAGCTGGAGAGGCCTTGGGAAAAGGCGAGACAGCCCAGAGCCCGAGAGGAGCACAGGGCTGGAACAGAGAGGAGAGGAAGGCAGGAAAGAGGCTCACCTAGAAGCAGAAACCACAGAGCTTGATCAGGAGACGGGCGGCAGGGGGAGCCGATGACACCCTCCTGACCTCTACCTCCACAGAAGCCCTTCAAGAAGCTTCTGGCTTTAGACGATGGCGCCGGCCCCGTCCACCTCCACGGGGCTGCCTGTGCGCTCCTCAGGAGCATCAGTGCTTGGGGTCAGCAGAGCTCACGCGTTCCCGAGACCCTGGCTCAGAGCCCAGTGGGAGTGGGCCAGGTCCCCTGGTCCCCACCGGGTGAAAGGCTCTGTCCCCTTAGGTGGCTGTGCCCGAGCTGCAGCTCTCCACCAGCTGGGTGGACTTCGGGACCTGCTTTGTGAACCAGGGGCACGTCCGGGAGGTCTACCTGATGAACCTGAGTGGTTCCCGGAGCTACTGGACTGTGCTGATGGGTATGTCACACTCTCCTGTCTGCCCGCTGCTCCCGTGTGGCTGGGCCAGGACCGCCAGGAAGGGGCCCGTGTGTCCTGTCCCCGCAGGCTGGCACCACCTGGGAATTCCTGCAGAGATGGCCAGTTCACCAGTCCCGGGGTATCCCCAGGGATCCAGAAGGCCAAGAAAAGCCAAGACCCTCTTAAAGAGAAACAATGTGGAAGAACTCACTCTCCTGGATTTGAAGACTTTAAACACCACAGTACCCAAGAAAATGTGGTATGGGCGCCAGAATGACACACCGGCCAATGAAACAGGGAAGAGAGCCCAGAATCAAACCCTCACACAGAGTCACTTGATTTATGATGACATTGAGAAAAGTGGGGGAGGGGAGAGCATCTTTTTAACAGGGGATCCTGGAAAAAATTAGACATTCATATTTTTTAAAAAAGAAGAAAGAAATTATTTAAAAAAATGCTAAGTGAAATGGCAAACTAAAGGGGCAAGAAGATATTTGCAACACGTATAACTGACAATGAACTTGTAAAGAACATGTAACGTACTCCTGCAAATCTATGAAAATGAGAACAGACAACCCAGTACAGAAGTAGACAAAAGACCTAACTAGGGATTTCATAGACAGGGAACCCAAGTGGCCAACACATATATTAAGAGGTGCTCAATCACCTTAGGAAGGAGCAAAGGTTAAGTTAAACCTAAGACATCACCACGCAACCATAAGATTGGGTGAAATTTAAAAAGTCTGAAAATGTCAAATATAATCAAAGAGGTGACATAGCGCCGGCTGAATCCTTCCAACAAAGTCACTAGAAGGGAGGTGTTGGCACATGGCTAATATGTTGCCCACCACAGGTCACAGGTAGGGCCCCCCAAAAGCAAGGGGGCATTTAAAGCACCCCACGCCGTCCTCTGAACAGATGCCCTGTGAGCTGCCTTTGCCTGGGCAATCCTGGGGAACTTGGTAAGGAACAGAGGGGCCAGAAAACCACACTGACAGGGGAAGGCGTGGGCACTAGCTTCCTGCTGTCCCAGAGTTTGGGGGTGTACACTCAAAGCAGTGTGCCGGGGACAGGGTGCCAGAAGCCACAACTCCACTGTGCTGCCCTCTCGTCCCGCCCTGGGGACTCAGGGCCTCCCTGCCCTCCCTGCATGAGGACAGACATTCTTTTCTATCCTCTCAGAAGCTCCTCCCTTGTAAGCTGATGATTTTCCAATAAACTGTGGAAGAGACAGAGAGAGACAGAGAGAGAGGGAGAGAGAAAGAGAGAGAGAGAGTGAGTGTCAGGCCTTGTCGGAACCCACCCCCTTCCAGGGGGAGGGGAGGTGGAGGCCAGGCCCTGACCCAGAGGCTTCCATCTGGCTAATGGGTGAGGATTCCTGGGCTGTGCCTGGGGAGCCCGCAGCTGGCTGGGAAGGGCAGACTTGCCCTCGGGGCATCTGGGACTGTGACCCAGGTTCTAGGGATCATTCTCAGGGTGGTGGTGGTCAGAGGTCAGCCCAGCTGGAGCCATCAGGGAAGGCGCCCCTGCGGAGGAGGCCATCCTGTCTGGGGAACGTCAAGGGAAAAATGGAGTGAGAAAGCCCTGTGCCATGTGGTACAGATGGGAGTTCTCATTATTTCTTCACATTCCAGCCGTGGCCCCGACTGGCGCATACAGTGGGACAGTGACATCTGTCCTCAGCCTGCACCGGAGCAGAAAGCCCACCCACACTAGCGGGTGCCAGGGCTGGAGGACGTGGGCAGTGTGGAGGCGAGATCCTGCCCTTGCCCGCTCCTGGCCCTCACAGACATGGCCCACCCACACCTCCCCCAGGGAGCTCCTGGCTGCCCCCAAGAGTTAGCTAAAGACCTTAAGGACTCTGGATGAGCCTGTCTGACCCATGATCCTCTACGCCTGTGTCTCTGGATCTCCAGACAAAGACAATTGGACGTAGCCATCTCAAGGCCAACACGGCGCCTTTATTAGAATGCATCACCCCTCAGCTCCCTGCCAAGGTGCCGCTTTTGGATCTTGAGGACGGACCTGCCTCCCCGCTTGGATTAGGCCCAGAACTTGCAGCCCAGAACACACGGCCACATACCCAGCCACTCAGCTCAACCGAGCCCGTCCGAGGGCCCGGCCCTCAGTCCTCCTGTTTGTCCTTGGTCTCTTCCGGGTCCTCGTTCATCATCTTGTTGAGAATGGTGTTCTCCGCCACTTCCTCAGACTCCTCACCCACTGACATATCCTTGGACACCAAATCCTGGTTCTTGTTACTGAACAAGCTATTGGAGAACAAGTCGTGAGCTGGACATTTTGGAGCAGTGAAGGCAGCGACTCTGGGGCAGTCCCCAGCAGCACTGGCCCTGTGCTCCTGCGAGGCAGGGCTCCCCCACCCCTGTGGGGCATGAGCCTGTGACAGCCCCTGGGACTAGGCCACTGCCATCCCCTGACTCCAGCCAGACCCTTCTGTCCTCTGCCTCTTTGGAGTTCTGCGTGCCATCTTCAGCACAAGCATTGACTGAGTGCTTGTCACATGCTAGTCACAGGGCCAGCTGCTTCATGTGGGTTTATTCCACCCAAAAACCCTGGGAGAGAGGAACGCTAGGCTATGTCGTTTTAACCCGTCGGTGCCTCCGGTTCCTCATCTGTGAAATGGGGGGTGGGGGGCAGTGACAGGGCCCACCTGGCATGTCGTTGTGGTGAGGACACAGTGTGACAAGGCACGCATGGGAGGGTACCTGGCACGGAATGCACAGGGTCTGGCACAAAAAACGCTCCCTCCCTCAGCCCTGGGAGGCAGCCCTCCAGTCCAGGTAGGCGGCCAGGAGGCAAAGAAAGGAGAGGACCTGATCCAGGTGGGGTCGGAAGAGCCAGACAGGATGGAACAGAAGTTGGACTGCATAGAGTGGGCGAGAGTATCCAGAAGCGCTGGGGAGGCCGTACTGGACACAGTGGCTCTTCCATTGGTGGCCCTTTGGGGAGAGGAGCGGGGTTGGATGGCACCCAATAGCCTCTCTGGGCTACATTCCGGAGCCCAGGGGCCTCACACACCTACCTGTCCCGAGTGGAACAGTCGTCCGGATAGTCAGAGAGGGGCCAGTCGCACGTTTCTGGAAGCGTGAGGCAGAGCAACAGGGCGCAAATGGTGAAGATGCAGAAGAGCGAACTGGAAATGGTGATGAGGTTCTGGCTGATGAGGGCCACGGATAAGATGCCTCCAGGCACCCAGGCCAGGAACACCAGCCCTAGACCCGTCGACCTGGCAGGAAAGGTCAGAGCCTGTCTGGGGGGCCTCCTGGGCCCAGAAGCTGGGGAGAGTAGAAGCAGCAGCTCCCCAGAACTCCATCCACCCTGTCCCAACTCAGTCAGACCTTGGAGAATTTAGCTCTCCTTTGATTCGAAGAGGTAGTCATTTCTTCGGGGCCTACTCCATGGGGTCAGGAGTAGGAGAAGTAGGACCCACGGAACAGTGGTGGTGGTGGGGCGGTTTGGGAAGAAGGCTGGGCAGGAGGATATGGTTGCCCGTAGCAACCTCTCCCAAGGTGAAGGGTTTGAGCCTCAGAGTGGCCCGGATACTTCTCAGACACTCTGCGCAGGATGGAAACTAGCGTTGCACCCCCCAGGGCCAATGCTAATCCTGCCCCTTGTCCTGTATGACCTTGACCCAGTGCCTCCCCCTCTTTGGTTTCATTGTCTCGAGCAGGGCTAATGATGGTGTTTGGAGACTTTTTCGTGAGGTGTAATAATCCATGCCAGCTCCTCAGCACGCTGCCCATCGCCAGGTGAACGCCCAGTCTTAGCTGCTGCCATTCACCTTGTTATTGTCCCGCCTTCTCACTGTCCCCCCCCACCGCCGCCCCCGACCCCTCCCGCCCGGCTCGCACCTGAGGACAGTAGGGAAGAGCTCGGCAGTGTAGATGAAGAACACGGCGACTGAGATGGCCTGGCTGAATTTTCCAAGCAGGACTATCAAGGCCTTGAAGGGTTTTGACTCTGTGGCCAGACAACGTGACCACCTGAGTTTGGAGCCACCCCCCACCCCCATCAGGCCAGGCAGGGGAGGCCTGCCCATCAGCTCTCACTGATCCCTGTCCGAAGCCCACCCCACCACCCCATCAGCTGACTCGCGCGTGTGGTCAGAGGACCGTCAGTGTTCCAGGGCCCAGTCAGGCCGGGAGTTCATTTTTGCTGCATCTATTCACATTTAACCACCAGATCAGCCACGGACTGGAATCAGGTGGCAGAAGGCTGCCCACTCTCCCGCCTGCGCAGGGACGATTGCTCTGAACGGCACTGCCCTCTCCCAGGCCTCTGAGAGCTGTGTGTTTGGAACCTGTCGGAACCACCCCCACCCGCCCACCAGGGGGCAGGACAGCGCTCCAGCAACCGGTGCCTGCTCCCCAGGTGTTGGGGCATCTGCAGGGGAGGTGGGCTCTGGGCACAGGAGGCAACTCCCAGGGTGCCTTGTTGGCGGGACAGGACGGGAAGCACGAGGGAAGGGTTGGACAGGAAGGAGGCGTTGGACAGAAGGCTCAGGGCGGGGGTTGGGAAGGGCGGGCTGTACCTGAGGGGAAGAGAAGCATCAGCAAGTTCATGAAGATGTTGTGGAAGACGGTCACAACCAGGCTCCCCTTCCTCCCCATCAGCTTGAGGAGAAAGATGGAGCATAGTTGGGCGGGCACCTCAATCAGGCGAGGAATCATGTGGCTGATGTGGAAGCTCAGACCAAAATCCTTCATCCTGAAGCCCATTATAAAGTAGCTGTGACTGATTGTGAACCTGGAATGAAGCCAGGAGAGAAACGCTCGGAGAGAGCAAGAGAGAGACCACGCACAGGGGCACGCGCACAGATGGGGCGCGGTGTGGGGGCGGGGGCGGGGGAGTCGGGCGAGAAGGGAAAAGAGACGTGAACACAGATCGGGGATCTGCGGGCCAAGCCGGGGTGCTGAGGCCTCGCTCCCCTGCAGCCTGGCCCGGCCTCATTCCTTCGCCAGAGTTTCCGGCGGGCACGTCCGTTTGCCGTCACCACCCTTCAGCCATGGGGACTCACCACACATAGCCTGTCACCAAGGTTATCTTGCACAGGTTCTTATTGTTATATAAGTTCAGGATTGAGGCATGTCGTATGTTCTTTTCAGGTACCTGTAGCTACAGGACAGAAAGGACCGACCAGAGGCAGGGCAGAGACCCCAGCTTGTTCCCGCCCCTACAGGATTCTCGAGCGCCCCCACACCCCCACCCCCGTTCCCCCAGTGCCAGCCTGGTCCCTGGCCTTCCCCTGGCAGGGGTGGGTTTTCTGTCACTGTTCCTCTCAAGCAGTGGGCTGGGGACCCCCTCCGGGCCAAAGTCCCACCTGAAAGGATGCAGAGGGAAGAGGCCCTTCCACAGCAGCCTGCCCTGCCCTGCTCTGGCTCCAAGGCCTCTTACCTTGTCCAGGCGCCTTAAAGGAATCGTCTTCTTGTTCACGCTGGCTGCATAGCACAGCACCTGCTTGGCGGTCTCCACCTTCCCTCTCACCATCAGCCACCGAGGGGACTCTGGGAGGATCCTGCATGGCACAGCCCCCTTGTCTGTCACTCCCAGATGCCCCCCCCGCCCCGCCAAGAGGGCCCTGTCCCCATCTCAACAGTGCCCATCCTGTTCCAGTATGAGGTCATTCAGGTGCTGGAGGCCTTGGAGGCGGCCATCTACCTTGAGACATCCTCCCCCCATCCTTGGCAGTCATCCCTTCCCCTGCCCCAGCCACACGCAATCCCCGGCTGCTCGGTGTCCCCCTGCCCACGTGCTATCTCGGCCTCGCCGTCTCTTTCCCCTCTGCCACCTGTGAGAGTGCTGTACTTTCTATCCCAGGGGTCGCCTCCACCCCCCCGTCCCAGGCATGCTGAGGACGCTGTCTTCCACGCCCACACACTCTCCTGGAGCCCCATGCTCGTAGCTGGGACTAGCACGGTGACCAGGTCACCTCCTAGGTGGCTCCCTTTTCCAGGTTGTCCTCCCTCCTCAACTCCCTGCCACTCCACAAAAGCCACCTCAAGATCATCAAGGCCAACAAGCACTTTACCAGCCTCTTTTTTTTTTTTTTTTGACCTCGACCTTGTCCATACGTTGTCCTTGAACCTTGCCTTTCGAAGAGTTGCCTTCTGGTTTTCTGACCACCACTCTGGCGTCTCAGCAGCCCCCAGCTCTCTCTCACCTCAGCTGCGTACCCTTCAGCCCAGGGAACATCCCACCCACTCCATCCCTCCCAGGACCCTTCCCACCCATCGGCCCCAGCCCCGTGAGTGCCCTGCACCCCTCAGCTCACCAGATGAAGGAGATGAAGGAGAACGCGGGGGCCCCGCCCAGCAGGAACAGCAGCCGCCAGTGGGGGAGGTTGTAGGCCAGCCCCGTCAGGAACATAATCCCCAGAGAGAAAAGGCAATGGTTCAGGATGACCGAGTGGGCCCGGTACTCATTCGTCAGCCACTCAGTAGCTGTGCGGAGGAGGCCAAGAGGACGCGATCACGGTCCACTCAGGGTGCCCAGGGCTGCCCCTGCACCCAGCCTTCTGAGATGTCCCAGCCCTGCCTGGGACAGATGAGGCTGGGCGAGCCTTCTTCTGCCTGCTTATGATCTGCCCAAGGTCCAGAGACAGCCTTCCAAAGCCAGGCAACAGTGTCCCTGCCGTGGCCCCACAAGGCACACCGGAGGCCGCTCGCCTGACCTCCCAATCTTTCATGTTGCCTCCAGGCCCTTCTCAGCCTGGCTGTCTCCCCACCCCCCGAGAGCACCCGCTGCCTGACCACCTGCCTCTCGCCGGGAAGGCCTGGGTGTGGGCACACCACAGTGGCTGCCCCACGGTGTCACTGAGACTATGTGTCACTGTCCTTGTCTTTGCTCTCAGTGCATCGGCACTTTGGCCACTCAGGTCAACCTCTGCAGAGGGCCCAGGTCCCTCTGGCCGGGCTCTGGCAGGAGCTCCAGCAGGGACCGGGGAGCACAGCCGGAGATGGCAGCCATGGGGCTGAATGAGTGCCTGGGTGCCGGGGGCTTTCCCGTCCCACCGGCCTGGGGTGGAATCGCAGTACCTCCGCTTCACCTGAGCAAGGTGGGGGACGTCCTGAGGCTCAAGTATCCTCCTCGGCCAAAGGAATAATAGAATAATGCCTACCGAATAGTGTTGCCAATACAGACAAAGGACCTGGGGTCAGCTTGGCCCTCCTTCAGGGCTCAATAAATATAAGCCATGTGCAGGGCATCAGGGGACATGAGAGGAATGTGTGGGGTGCTAGGCAGGTAGAATAGGGGGTGAGAGTGGAAGGGCACTCTGGGCACAGGTGCTGCACACCTCCAGGCAGCCCGACGTGGAGGCTCTGTCCTCCACTCCCAGCACGACTGGTTCCGCGGGGTGGCGCGCCCCACCCACATGCACTCCCCGCAGTGCCCACCGCCCACACGCCCGCACAGCCGAACTCACTTAAAGCTACGCTGTTGATGTAATAGCCCGTCGACGCCTGGAACGTCCCAAAGCGGAAAAACAAGTACTGTTGAAAGCTGTTGACGAAGGCTGTCCCAAAGCCGAAGATGATCATTCCCAGGATCGACAGCAGGATGGAGGGGTAGCGGCCGATCCTGAGGGCGGTGAGGGGAGGATGTGCCGAGCACCTGGACCTCTGTGTCTACCCTAGCCCAACCCCAGGGGCCAGGTCCCGAACCTTGCATGGGCCTCCAGAGTGCACATTCCCTCACTCACCCCAGCGTGAGACTTCTCAGCTCTGAATGCCCATGAGGAGGGGGCAGGGGTGTTCCAGGGGCCAGGAAAGACTCTGGGAGACTCACCTGTCACCTATTAACCCGAACAAGATCGACCCTATCATGAGGCCAGCCAGGAATATGGTCTTCATGATGTCCGAGGCCATTTCCTCCTCACACACCAAGTCAAACTGGGGATTAATGCAGGGGTTGGCCACAGGCCTCCACCCAGGGTCAGCCTTCTGGTTCCAGATACTGAGCCTCCTCCCAGGGTAGGCCTTTAGGCAGAAGGGGCCTGGGACGGGGATAGGGAACGGTGTGGCAGGCGTCAGCCATTCCCTTGGCCTTCCATCCTGCATCCAGCAGACTCTGGGAGTTAGGCCTGAAGAGAGGGACCAGAGGTACGGGCCGAGATCGGGGTAGATGGACAGGTCACTGAGTAAGGGCCAGCATCACCAAAGGCCCTTTCTCCAAAACAGAAGTTTGGGCCCCAGCCTAGAGATTCAAACTGGACAGGCCTGCGCTTTGAAGGGTGCAGGTTGCCGCTTAGCCTGAGGAACCCTGTAAGAGGTACCCGATCAAAACTGCTTCTTTCCTCAATCCCCCGTCTTCTGAGAGTTCAGAGGCCAGAGCCACAACTACAGAAGCACTCCCTTGGACAGATGGCAAACGCTGCCCTCTGCCTTCTGCCCCCTACCCCCAAACCCACTCTAGCTTTCTGGCTAGGACAGGTGAGGCCCGGGTTGGGCAGCAGGAATCCTAAGTTTCTGCCCTGGCCTTTCCTCTGCAGGGTGACCTTGGGTCAATTGCTTCTTGTCCCCGAGCCTCTGTTTCCCCACATGTTGGGTGAACGTGAGGGTCCGTCTTTGGGCCCCCGAGATAGCTACAGACAGCTCTGGACAAGACACACCTCATTGATTATCGACCGCGTCTTGCTGTGAGGATAGATCCACCCATTGTAGCATGACTGTGTGTAGTTGAGGCCAAACTTGATGATAGAATCCAGATCCCAGGTGACAGGCATGTACATGAGGCATGGCATGAAATTACCATTGGTATCCCGGGGCAGGGTCAAGTTCAGCTGTTCCTCCTCTGACAGGTTCGGGCCCACTGCCAGGATCCAGCTGGTGTTGCAATAGGGCTCCTGGGCTGTGAACGTGAAGATGTCAGTGAAAGTGAAGAAGGCTAACAGGATGTAGGGGAAGGAGGTGAGGGCCACCAGCCTCTGCTGGAATGTGCCAAACCCCCCCAGCGCATTCATGATACTGTCAAACTTGTCATCCTTATTGGTTTTGATGACTCTCAAGCTATGTAACAGCGACTCCACGGAAGAGGAAGTTGAGAATTCTGCTGAATCATGCTGGACTGAGCTCTTGGAATAATCCGGGGATTTGAGCTCCGCACCCAAGTTGTCTTCGTCTGCCATCTGTTCAAAGAAAGGATGCAGCACAGTCACTATTGCCACCACACCCCAGACCTCAGGGGCTGGCATGGGAGCCACGGGCTAGAAGCTGACCTCTCCAGCTTAGAATCCTGTGGACTCCAGCCTTGCTATTCTTTGTAGTTCCCTCCTTGGCTTCTAAAATGTCTTAGTTAACATAATGTCCCCCGTTGGCCCACCCATTCGGATTTCTTAATGTTTTAGAAAGTGCTGTGCTAAGTGCTGAGGAGTTCTCCTACAGCTTCCCCGCAACGGAAACCGCACGTGCACACGCACACCAAGGTAGCGCCAGGCTTGCAAAAGGAGAGTTCTCCAGAGAACGTTCTTTGCAAACAAGCAAACCAACAAAACCCCGGCCTCCCAGTCTGGATCACGAGTGGCCAGGAACCAAGGCCAAGGCGGGTGGCCGGAAGCCCTGGCCATAGACATAGGAGCCAGAGCCACCAAAACAGTAGGATGCCACACAGCACGGAGCCAGAGCAGAGGCAGGTAAGGCAGGAGTGAGGTAGCGACAGTGACCGCAAGGATACCACCCTGAAACAGCAGCAAGGGGTGGGGTGGGAGCGGAAGCTAAGCTTAAAGAACTCTGTTTTAAGGCACAACCCTCAGCAGGGCTGAAGAGGTCCCGAGTGAGGGCATCTCTCGGCTGCCAGCAGAAGCAAGCCCTGCCCTGAAAGGAAACCTCTGCAAATGAAACCTGCGAGGCTCTTACAGATGAAGCTCAAGCAAAGAGCTCAAAACAAAATTGTCACACACGGGAGGAGGCAAGCCCTTCTGAGTCAACAGAAACAAGAAACAATAGCTTGAGACTGGATTCACGATCTGACATCGATATAGGTGTGTGCAGGTATCCAGGGTCCGGCACAAATAATGCCTCCCCCTTTTTTTTAATACAAAATCTTTTATTACCAAGTCATCAGCATGTAATACTGCAACATAACCATATCACACTCGAGCACGCCATAGGACCCTTCAGGTAAATTGTTCAAATTAAAACTATATTACACCCCTAGTTTCACCCTACCAACCACACTCCTGCGGGCGTTACTTCTGCCGGCCCCTGTATTTTTCCATCTCTGTCCGCTGAGATGGCCTACGAGCAATGACACTTTAAGACCCGTGAGGCACCTAGTACGCAGATCTTGGTTTCTGAGTAAAAGAACCAGGGCTCTTTGGAGAAGGGGTGGATTCGAGGGGAAGTATGAGATGAGTCTGGAATGTCTCACGGTACCAGAAAGTAAGGAAGTGTCCCCAGCATGACAGGGGCCTGTCAAAAGGACACAGGAACCAAACAGAAGGAGTCCCCAGTGATCGAAGCTGGGACAATTTTAGCAGCAAAATAAATAATGATAGTAATGAATCCCCCATAGAACAAATACATCTGAATCCACGCCGAGGTAAAGAAATAACTGGGTAAATGAACAGGAGTAAGAGGGGCTGCTCTTCCTCACTGTAGAATCCTAATTAATACACGTGGAAGGGATGATGGGAATAGGATGGAAACAGGAGAAGCCGATATTTGCACAGTCCCAGAGTACCTCCCCACAAGACACTGTTCACTTACAAAGGGGAACATATGTAGAGAAGGCACTGGGTGGATACCACTTGAACCACGCGACGGAAGTTAAGATCACCAGTGATGCGACGTGTTGACAGTATGTACTGTTTGATGTCGTGCACTGAGAAGGGCACAGTGTCGCTTCTGAGGCATTCTTGCCCAAAATGCATAATGTTAACACGGTCATGGGAAAACACCAAACAAACTGAGGGACAGTCTACAAAATAACCGGCTAGCACTTTTCAGACGTGTCGAAGCATGAGAGGGGAAGCAAGCTGAAGGAACTTTTCTAGGCTGAAGGAGACGAAGAAGACACGACAGCAAAATGCAGTGCGGGGTCCTGACCTGGACCCCCGATGGGGGAAAGAACACTAGTCACACACAAATTAGTGGGGACTGTTTACCAAATCCAAGTGAGGTCTGTACATTAGTTAACAGCACCGCATCGATGTTGACTTCCTGCTCTAGATCACTGTATTGTGGTTAAACAAGATGCTCTCACTGGGGGGAAGACAAGGGAAGGGAAAGGGAAAGGGGGAGTTCTGTGTTCAGGAGTCCCTCCTTTCCTATCAGTTCGCTTTTCATGGTTTCCCTGACCTGCGGTCAACCGCGGTCCAAAAGTATCAAGTGGAAGTTTCCGGAAATAAACCATTCATACGTTTTCAATTGCGTGCCATTCTGAGTAGCACGATCAATTCCACGGCGTACAGCTCCTTCTTGCCTGGCGAATCAGCCCTCCGTCTGGGGATCTCCACGGTGTATCCAGTCACTGAGTAGCCGTTTTGGTTTTCAGACTGCCTGGTATTGCAGGGCTTATGCCTGAGTAACCATTGTTTTACTTCACAAGGGCCCCAAAGCACAAGAACAGTGGTGCAGGCAGTTCAGATACACTAAAGAAAAGTCATAAACTTTACCATAGGTGTGTATGTAGAAGAAAAATCAGTATGTACAGGGTTTGGTACTCTCCCCAGTCTCAGGCATCGCCTGGTGGGTCTTGGGATGTATCCTTTGCAGATAAGGATAGACAATTGCACTATTTTTGCAACTTTTTTCGTCACTCTAATAATCTTTAAAATTGAAAAGATTTTTTGCCTTAGCTAGTATGGCTCAGTGGACTGTACGCCGGACTGTGAACCAAGAGGCCATCGGTTCAATTCCCAGTCAGGGCACGTGGCTGGGTTCTGGGCCAGGTTCCCAGCTGGGGATGTGCGAGAGAAGCCACTGATTTCACCTCTCCCTAAAAATAAATAAATACAATGTTTTTAAAAATTTAAATGAGTTTTTAAAACAGGGGAATTGAAAAAAAGAGACACCATTTACAATATTAAGAGAATATGAACTGGGAACAAATTTTACAAAATAGGTGCAAGACACCCATTAGGGTGGCTGTTACTGTACTTAAAAATAAAACTCCAGAAAACAACAAATGTTGGTGAGAAAGTGGAGAAATTGGAACCCCTGTTCATTACTGACGGGAATGGAAAATAGGGCAGCCCCTCTGTGGCAGATCCTTGAAAAATGAAAAAGAGAGTTACTGTTTGATCCAGCAATTCTACTTCTGGCTATGAGCCCCAAAATAACTGAACGCAGAAAGTCAAACAGATACTCGTACACCAAGGTTCACAGCAGCGCTATTCGCAGCAGCCAAAAGGTGGAAGCAACTCAAGTGGCCATCAGTGGGTGAACAGGTAAGCAAAATGTGGTGTGTACAGGTGATGGAACATGATTCTGCCTTTAAAAAGAATGAAATTCTGGTACGTGCCATCGGGATGACCCTCGAGGACCTTGCGTTCAGTGAAATAAGCCAGTCACGAAAGGACAAACGTTGTGTGATTTCACTTTTATGAGAAAACCAGAGGAATCAAATTCAGATACAGAAAGTAGCAAAGTGCTTGCCAGGGACCAGAGAGAGGAGAGAATGGGGGGATATTGTTTAATGGTACAGAGTTCAGTTGGGGAAGATGCAAAAATTCCGCAGATGGGTAATTTCACACTGTGGTGCCTCTGAATGTCACCCTTAAAAACGGTGAAGATGAAATGACTCCTATAACTCAATAACAAAAACCCACAAATAATTCCGTGTAAAAATGGACAGAGGAACTCAATTGACACTTTTCCACAGAAGACATACAAATGGCCACCAAGTACACAAAAAGTTGCTCAACATCATTAGTCAACAGAGAAATGCAAATCAAAACCACCATAAGATATCACCTCGCACAAATTAGAATAGCTTTCATCCCAAAGGCAAGAGGTAAGTGGGGTGAGGAGTTAGAGAAAAGGGAAACCTTATATTCCGCACAGCTGGTGGGAATATAAATTGGTGCAGCCACTGCAGTCGACAATGTAGAGGTTCCTCAAAAAATTAAGAAGAGCCCTGACTGGTGTGACTCAGTTGGCTGAGCATTGTCCATCCTGCAAAGCAAAAGGTTGCTAGTTGGATTCCCAGTCAGGGCACATGCCTGGGTTGCAGGTTCGGTCCCCAGTCAGAGCATGTAGAAAAGACAACCAATCAATGTTTTGCTCTGACATTGATGTTTCTCCCCTTCCCTTCCCCTATCTCTAAAATTAATAAGTATGTCCTTGGATGAGGATTAATATAATAATAATATAATAAGAAAAATGGGCAAAAGACATGAATGGGCATTTCAAGAAGAGGAAATTAATGTCTTCATATGTTTGTGGCCCACAAACATATGAAGAGATGCTCAATAATTTTAGTACGGAGGAATATGCAAATCAAGACCTTAATTAGATATTAATACTCAATTGATGAACACAACTTAAAAAGTCTGACAATACCAAGTGTTGGAGAGACTCTCTTTCACACATTTCTGGAAGGATTATGCCTAGCTCCACATGGGAAAACAAGTCAGCATTGTCTTATCAAGTTGAATGTTTGCACGCCTTGTAACCCAGCAATTCTGCCCCATGTATATACCCTGGAAACACATGTCTCCATATGACCCAGGCAATGAATACCAAAATGGTCATGATGACACACTTCAAATATTAAAAAGAAAAAAAAAGAACCCAAATGCTCATTTACAGAAGAATGGATAAACTGCGGTATATTTACATAGTGGAATACAATACAGCAGCGAAAAAGGAATGCATGTCAGCTACATCCATTAAGACTTGACGGGCCATTGCAGGCCTTGAAGATGGGAAGGGACCGTGAGCCAAGGAATGCAGGCAGCCTCTAGAAGCTGGAAAAGGCAAAACAATGGATTCCCCCGCCCCAGAGGCTCCAGAAAGGAATGCGGCCCTCCCAACATGTTGACTTTAGCCCAGGGAGACCCATTCTGACCCCCAGAATGGCGACGTAATACATTTGTGGTGTTGCAAGCCACTGGGTTGGCAGTCATGTGTTACAGCAGCATCAGGAAGTGAGTGCGGTGCGTGTGTGTGCATGGTTGGAGGGAGTGGTGGTGGATAGAGGAGACTTCCTGGGGAGGGAGGGAGGAAGGGAGGGAGGGAGGGAGGGAAGCTTTGCTCTCCTCACAGACTGGCTTCTGACTGTACCGCCTGGCCCCACAGGGCTCCCCCAGCATGCCCAGCGGCGCCGGTACACCTGCTAGGGTCCAGCGGTCTGCAAGGCCCTGGATTGCTTGCTCCCTCTACTTGATGTCACAGATCCCCAGCCAGGGGGATAGGCCCCAGGCGACTGGTTCTCAAGGTACAAAAGAGGAAACTGAGGTCTGGGAAAGGGAGGAATGGCCAGGAGCACCGCTCCAATTGCAGGCAGGAAAGGGCCGGTGCCGCCCGGAGAGCTCACAGTTCCTATGAGGGGGGGCAGCCTGTGCCTCCCACAGACTCCCCGCAACCTAGCGGTCCCACAGTTGTCGGGTGCCCTCCAAACTACCACCCTCCACACCCTCCCACGAACCAAAGCCAGGGCCCACCTGACCACCATCCAGGCCCAGCCAGACCGTTGGCAGCGGAACGTTTGGGTTCCACTGGTGGCCAGGAAGTCATGTCACAATGGGGCGCGGAGGGCCTGGGGTGGGGTAGGAATGGTGAGGAGCAGCATTCTACTCCAGGGGCCCGGCTGGCCACAGACCTCTGGGCAGAACGGGACAAGGCAGGTGGGGAGAATCCTGAGAGCCAGCCGCATGCCTGTGTGCAGACTGTTCCTGGCGCCAGGAGCCCCTGTCCTCCCCTGAAGGGTCCCACCTCCACTGAGGGCAGTTCCTCCATCTGTCCAGACACTACTGACCCACCCTCAGTCCCCATGCCTAAGGTGGGGGGCGGGCAGGAGAGTCAGAGGGGCAACAGGCCCTCCCTTCGGCTGCTCTCAGACCTGGGGGCAGAGGTGAGGGCAGAGCTTCTTCGGGCCTGGCCCCCAGTGGCTGCGCTGCCCAGCTGGTGCAGCGGGAGGGGAGAGGCAGCAGAGGTGCTGAGGAGCTTGGGAGCGGCCACCGAACGGCTTCTCCCTCTCTGAAAGCTGGAGGAGAAGCCTCCGGTCGGGAGAGAGAAGGAAGGGGTGCAGAGAGGAGGCGAGAAGAAGCCCCCGGTGAGAGCTGTCAGACAAGCCGAGGTGAGAGTGTGCTGGGTGCAGTGAAAGGCCCAGGTGAGACTGGCGCCTGTCGTTTCACAGAACAGACTTGACGGCCACGAGACCCTCTCCAGCAGTGCCCAGCAGTGCCCAGCAGTGCCCAGTGGCCTGGGGTGCGGGGGGAGAGGAGGCAGATGTTTGGGCTCTTTGGCCACTATGGGTTTGTAAGTTGGGGTACGACCAAAGGGTGGAAAGGATAAAGTGCAGGGTGTTGGCAACCGAGGGAAAGGATCTCTGTCTCTCAACAGAAAGGAAAACGATGGCTCACACACTCAAATCAGGGGACACTGGTGGGAGGTCCACAGGCCACAGGCCTCAGGGAGGCTAAGGCTGGCATTAGGGACTGAGAGCGTATGTCCTCCTGGAGTCTCCCAAAAGTCCACGTTGAAGCCCTAACCCCCCCACCCCCGGCGATATTCAGCAGTGGGCCTTGGGGAGGTCCTTTGGGTTAGATGAGGTCACGAGGGTGGGGCCTTCATGATGAGCTTGGTGGCTTTCTACGGAGAAGAGACCTCCGTCCACCTGCATGCAGAGGGGAGACCCCGTGAGGGCACAGTGAGGAGGTGGCCGTCTGCAAGCCACGAAGGGGGTCCTCGTCAGACCCTGGCCCTGCTGGCACCCTGACCTTGGACTTCCAGCCTCTGGAACTGGGAGACAATAAATCTCTGGTGAAAGGCACCAGTCGACGGCACTGTTACTGCAGCCTGGGCAGGCCAAGGCGGGTGGGGCTGGTGGAGCGAAGATTCCGAAGGCTGGGAAGCGGCAGTCAGAGAATGGGGCGTCTGAAGGAGGGTTCCTTCACTTGTTCAGTCATACGCCAGACATTTGGGGGTGTCGGAAGTGGAGAGGAGTTTTCCTGAGCTGGTGGCAGGAGCTGGCGTGGGAGGGACAACCAGGAAGCAGGCGGCTTTTAGGCGGGTGCGGCTGTGCGCGCTGGAGGCAGGCGGTGGGAGCCGGGAAGACGTGGGTTTGGACAAGAGGAGGTTTGGACGAGTGAGAAGGGCAGGTCGGCAGCAGTGGGGAGCGAAGAGGCTCTCGCCCCAGCTCCCTGGCGTGGCGGGGACGTGTGACCAGAGGAAGCGGCAGGAGATGGAGTGCCCTCCTTCAAGGGCCGAGGACACAGGGGCTTCTGCTACATTTGAGGCAGCAGCTTCAGAGACTCTGGTTCGAGACCATGGGGGCCGGGTCAGTGGGGATAGGGACAAAGCACAGGGGTTGGCGGGGGGTGCCTGAGGCTTCTGACAGTGACACAGTCAACACAAGATGCATCACACAGTGGTCCCTCCTGGGGGTCACTCTGAGGAGGGCGGGCACTGAGCTGAGTGGCCAGGGGGCTTCTGGGCAGAAGCAAAGGAAATGGGGATGCTAAGCTGTGTGGCCAGGGCTCAGGCCAGGGAGCAACCAACCAAAGGGTCTTCACCTCCCAGCTTCCTCTTAGCTGCAGGCCTCCGCCCCATGCCCCCCGCCCCACAGCCATGGGCCTCTTCATCACCAGGACGTTGGGAGGGTCAACAGAGGTCAAAAACATCTGCAGTTCATCTCTTGTCCTGTAGTTAATGTTATGTTTCTCTGCATCTACTTCCGGCCCCTTCCAACACATTCTTTCAGACAGAGAGTAATTTATAGTTTCAAAATACAAATCTCCTCGAGCCTCTCTCATGCTTACCGAAAAATAGTGGCTTTTGTTGCCCTCAGAACCAAGTTCAAAATGAAGAATAAGGCCTTACAAGGCCGACCCGGGTCTAGTGGCTCCCACACCCAGGAACCCTGTGGGGATGGCGGTGCACACCATACCGTGGACAGGTGGTGTGTTGTGCAGTTGTGCACCTGCAACCTGCATGATCTGGTTAAAGTGTCGCCCCCAATGAGGAAAAAGAAACTCCCAGAAATCCAGGCAGCTGAAGCCCCTGCCCACTGCTAGTCTCCCCCCACCTCCCACCCTCACCACCCCCCCAAAAGCACATCTGCATCCCCGGCTGCCTGCTCTTCACCTGGCCCGCAGGCCTCTCCTGCCCCAGCCTGCGCACCACCTCAGCTGCTCGTCTAATGCCGCAGTGCTCCGTCCTCCTCGTCCATGGCATCTGTCCAAGGTTTCCTGGAGTAGTTTCCTAGCTACAGAGAATTGTCCGTCTCTGGGTTCAGCATGTTCCCAAAGGCAGGGCGAGACGCATGGGCCTCCCTGGCTGAGGAGAGGCTGCATGGGCAGTGACTGAAGCAAAGTCCGGGGGGGTGTGAGTCAGGGCCACACGTGGGGACGGACTCAGCCCAGCCCCGTGCCTGGCAGTGACCCGCGGATGGAGGGTGGCCCTCCTTCCCTATCTCCCTGAATCCTGGGGACAGGTTGCTGAAGCCCTCTGCCTCTCACACCCAACCCGGGCACCCAAGATTAGACTCCTTGAGGATCAGTGTTGAGGGACCCGTGAAATCACCCATCTGAAAATGGGCAGCCCGAGGCTCGGAGTAGGAGGGCTCTTGCAGCCAAGCCTGAGCTGTGAGCCCTGCACTGGCCTCCCCAAAGCTGACCATAGCATGAGTCGTGGATGCCCTGCTAGCGTGTCCCCCAAATCTGGGCTGGGCTGTGCTCAGCAACACCCTCAGGAGAACAGCCCCAGCCCAGCCCAGGCTGCCCCCGGCTCCTCGTGGGTAGGGTCCACACCAGGCCTGCAGGTCTTCTCCTCTGAGGTCTCGGCCGCTGATCTCCCGCCCGCTAACAGCCAAAAAGCTAACATTTACCCATCAGCCAGAAGGAGCCACGGGGCCCTCTGTAATGCACCCGGAGAAAAGTTTTTCTCCCCGGGGCCCTGCAATAGTAAAGACAGGACAGTTTCTGAACACTTGCCGGAGGCGGTGGGTGAGTTCTGCATTTCTCTCGGTGTCAGTAAAGAGCCTGTTTCAAGTCTCTTTCCAGGACCGAAGGTCACTGCCTCACAGGGACACAAGTGTCCACGCCTTAGGGCTGCAAACGGCCTTCCGCTTTGAAATGGCCATTTCCCCACTCCTCTCCGGGTTTTTTCTTCCTCTCCTTGGCAATTTCAGCCGAGAAAGACTTCTCACTGTCCCCAAAGGAAGACTTTAGCCTGGGATGCCAGACTGGGTCCACAGCAGGAAGCAAAACACGACGTTTCTCCATCCCTTCATAGCTGAGAACTGTGAGTAACAACTACCCATGTACTCGCAAGAGAGCTGCTGGATGCTTCCCTGTTGGGTTGACAAAGGCAGGAAAACTGGTCCAGCACCTCCCACCGCCTCCAGGCTCCACAAGGGAAGGGGAGCTGAGGGGGGAGGTTCTGCCAGAGCCCTCTTTGGGGCTGGGCTGCCTGTGACGAGGAGAGACGGGGACCTCTCTCTCAGGACAGGGTTCAGCTGAAATGCCCTCAGAGGCCAGCCAAAGGAAGGGGTAGCAGCCAACCAGTCTCTCTCCACGCTCTTGGCGGCACAAGGATGTACGGAGTCCTTGTGGGCCGAGCAGCTAGCTGCCAGGACAAGTGGGCTGGCCCGAGGGACCACAGCTGAGGGCCGTCCTGTAAGGTCAGGTGTGCCCGCGGTGGGAGCTGGCGCTGGGGAGGTCAGCGCGAGGACATTGGTTAGATGAAGGAACAGCACAAAGGTCCCAAGGGGATCGCCGGGCAGCCACAGATGTGCCCATGGAGGCGCGGACTTCCTGACGCCCGCGGGGGCACACTGACGTGTGATCAGCCAGCACGACCTGGAAGGAGCTCATCTGGCAGCAGCCAATCAAAGACCTCGCTGTTCTCCCCCTTCTCCTTGTCTGGGCCCTTTGGGAGCCAGAGGCAGCAGACTGTGAAAGGGGGGAGGCGACACAGAGAGGGGCAGAGCCCACCTCCGCGTGGTCCCCGAGCCACCCAGGTTAGGCGTGAGCGGAGTGCGGGTGGCGGAATGGAGGATCTTTGAAGAGGATGCAGGACTGGAGCTTCGCTGTCCCCTGACCTAGAGTCTTCTCTCAGCAGGATCCAATGTCCTGTGGGACTCCAGCCTTGGCCACAGGGGCCTGGTCCTGCCGCTAGAAGGAACGGCCACCTCTCCTGACCCACAGGCTTTTTGTCCTCCGGCCGGGACAGAGAACTCAACTTCACGTTTTCTCCTCCTACGGAGCACCCTGGGAAAGGCCCTACCTAGGTGTTCCGGGTCTGACTGTGTGTGGAGGGCAGGCGGACCCCAGATGGAGGGGATCGGGGAGCCAGACCCCCCACAAGACTATCAGAGAAGTTAAGAGCAAGACCCTAACCCAGAAGAGGGGGTGGGGGTGGGGCTCCGGGGATAAGGAAGGTGTTGGGAGGAGAGAGGCCCTGTCCCAGCCGTCCCTGGGCGTGGGCCTGGCAGTCGGCGCTGGTGCTGGAGTCAGGTCCCCACGTGTTGCCTCCGTCAGGGAAGCTGGTCTTGCGCACAGGTCCCACCCGTGTCCAGGGGAGTGAAATCAGAATTGTGTGCTGCTCACGACAGCCACCCCCGGGCTAGACGTTCTTCCTGAGGCCTGTGCCCCGTGTTCGGGGGGCTCTGCCTCCAGAGTCCTACAGGGGACAAAAGGCCATCACTGGTTGACCGGGAACCGGCCCCATAGGAGTGTCCCTTGCCACTCCCCAGAGGAGGGGGACTCTAACCCAACACCAGCCAGATGTCTGGGGTTCCTAACCCCCCCCCAACACTGGTCTCTAAGTGACGGCGGGCCAAGGGTGCGGTAGAGGCTTGCGCTTCGGACACAGGGACCACCGATGTGGAGCCAGGGCCCCGGGCTTCAGGGAAAACCCGCAACTCACCGTGGGCGCGGCCCCTGCTCCAGGTCCTGGATGGTGTCCTTCATGGGCTGGCCCCGTGTCTCGGGCAGCAGCAAACAGAGTAAGCCCGCCCCGATGGGGAGGCTGCCGTAGACCACCATGGGGAGGGCCTTGTGGATGTCACCCAGCAGCATCACCAAGGGCGTGATGATGCCCCCGATCCTCGAGAAGATGGCCACCAGCCCCATGCCCGTCTGCCTGGGGGAAGGCCAGTGTCCACTGAGCAGGCCCGGCCTCTGCTCCGGGCCACAGCGCCACCCCCGCACACTCCCTTGGGAGAAGACCCCTCGTTACGGCCCGCAGTTATGGCAGGGCCCCCCTGCTCACCCAGCCCGCTCTGCCTTCCTCCCGCACATCCAGCCCCTGGGAGTCCAACCGAGGGCCCTGCTCCTGCCGCCTCCAGGCCGCTCGGTCAGCCGGCTGCTCTCCTGCCCCTGCCACCGCCCCACCGCCCCGACGGCTCCTCCTTCTGAGCCGTCCCTTCTTAGACTTACTCCGTATCCCAGTCCCGACATGGCCAGGGCAGGGCCCACCTCCCTACCCGTCCTCCGCCAGCCTCTGGCCCACTTGGGGTTTGGGCTGCCCTGGGGGGCTGGCCCCCAGCCAGCGCCGCTGCCCCAGAGCCAGCCTTGAAAGCTAGTTGTGGACGGGCAGGGAGCGGGGCAGGGGGTGGCCAGGGAGCAGGAGCCGCACCAGCAGCCCTTACCTGATGACGGTGGGGAAGAGCTCGGTGGTGTAGACGTAGGAGATCGTGAACCCAGCGGCTGTGGCGAACTTCCCCAGAATGGCCAGCACAGTGCTCACTACGGGCAGATCTGGTGGAGGATGCTGGTCAGCCACGCAGAGGGCAGACGGGCCCCTGGCCTGGGCCCTGCCCCTGCCGGGTCCACGCAGACTCTGCACCCCTTCTGTACCCGAACCCCAGGGAAGCCCTCCCTCCGGAAAGAGAAGCAACGGGCCACAGGTGAGTGAGGGCGGGCGGGAACAGGGGAGCGCCAGGCCTGGTACCTGCTGGGATGAAGATGATGGTGATACACATGAGGCCACCCATGGCCAGAGTCCCCAGCTGGCTCCACCTGCGGCCGAATGTCTGCATTATGAAGGTGCTGGAGTAGCGGGCGGGCAGCTCCACTGCTCCGAAGATGAGCTGGGTCAGGTAGATGTCCAGGCCAAAGTCCCCCACTTGGAGGCTCAGGCCATAGTATCCCAGACTGTCCACAAACCTACGAAGTATCCAAGGGTCCCTGTCACTTCTGGGTGATGAGACCACCGCACTCACAGAGAGAGAGAGCCTGGCTTGGCCAGAAGTCACAACAGGAGACGGCAGCACAGTCAGGGAGACACCGAGTCATTCCCGCCCAGCCCCGCCCAGCCCCACCCAGCCCCTCCCAGCTGGAGGGCCGCCACTGACCCTCCACATCCCACTGACACACACCAGGAAAGGGGCAGCGCTTGACTGCGGCCTCAGGGAGCAGCCAGGACCCCAGTGCACTCACCAGACAAAGAAGAGAATCAGGGTCACCTTCCGGAGCTGGGGGTGTCTGAACAGATCCAGGGCATTCCCTGAGGGGCCTGTCTTCTCTAGGGCCAGCTGGGAGGAAGATGCCGTGTGAGGGGCCCGCAGAGTGGTCCGTGGGAGTCAGGTGAGGGGGTAGGCAGGGTCCCTGGCCCTAGGTACCTGGCTCAGCAGCTCTGGGGAGAGCTTCTGCCTGTTGACTGAGGCCGCCTTCTGGATCAATCGTTTAGCCTCCTCGACCCTGCCCCGGGTCAGGAGCCACCGGGCAGACTCTGGCAGAACCCTGCAGGTCAGGAATGGTTGTGACTAGGAGCATGGAGTCTTACAGGGCCCCCAGGCACCCAGGAGCCTTCCTGGCCATCCCAGGGCACAGGGAACCCCACAGCCTTAGCAGGCTCCCTCTCCCAGACACATCTCTGGGGGTCCCATGAGGAGAATGTGAGGTCGACACCCCAACCCCAGGGGAGCACAGCTAGCCTAGGGTGGCTTGCCCCAGGAAGCATCTCCTCACCAGAAGTAGAAGAAGAGCAGAAAGATGGGCGCGGTGCTAGTGATCTGGAAGAGCCTCCAGTTGCGGACGCCGTAGGCAAGTCCCGCGAGGGCCATCTGCCCGACGGAGAAGCCGCACTGGCACAGGACCATGGCCTGAGTCCGCCTCGAGGGCCCCGCCCACTCTGCAACTGCGGACAGAGAGGCGGAGACTGGGCCCGGCCCTGCCCTCTCATGCCCTGCGTCCCAAGAAGCCACCCTGTCGGTGGTCCCAGCCCAGGAAGCGCAGGTGTGACCACCTTAGGTGTGGGTACCTGACCAGGCCCCCTCAGGCAGTCTGGGGAATGAGGTGGGCCCCCAGGGCCTCACCCTGTGGCTGAAGGCTTCAGGGGCAGACACTCACGTAAGGTGGCATTGGTGATGGCATACCCAGCGACGGCAGTGGCCACAGCAAAGCGCATGACCAGGTAGAGGTCAAAGCTGGGTACAAAGGCCGTGGCCAGGCCGATGAGGGCGAACAGCAGCATCTGTATCAGGGTACTAGGTTTTCGACCAATCCTGAAGTGAAAAGGAGACAGTCCAGGAGGGGAAGGGAGGGAGACCAGCCCAGCCCTGGGCTCCCTGTCGGGGGAGGACACAGGGTCCTACCCGGAGAGCCACACACGAGGAGGAAACAGCCCTGTGCCAGACACCCGAGAGCCCACAGGTAAGGGATGCACTCGGTCAAGGTTCTTACCGGTCACAGAGGGGCCCAAAGATGAAAGCGCCGACGAGGAGCCCCAACATGTACACCGACTGCGAGGTCTCCTTCAGGTGCTTCCGGTCACACACCAGGTTGAACTGAGGCAGACACAGACAGGTGTGAGTCTAGGGGCAGCCGGGGGCCAGCCCTTTGTCGCCTAGGCCACCCACTACAGACTTCCCAGGGCAGCTACCCTCGGTTCACAAACTGCGTGCCGAGTCAGCCCAGGGAACCCGAGGGAACTTCTGGGGCACAGCGTGATCTTGAAAACACCGAAGGAAAAGACAGCCAATACGCAGCCTCTGTCTGATGTCACATGAGCTACTACTAGCCTAGCCGGGAGAGCTGTTTCAGCATGAGGTCATGCTATTCTCAGTGACATCAGCTTTGTGGGAAGTTGTATTTTTGGCAGTTGCTGTGAAAAGAAGCAAGAACCGTGAGAAAGTCAACGTGGATTGGAACACGAGGGTGGTGGCGTTCAAGGACTGAGAAGTCGTGTTGTTCCCAATAGGCACATGCGTTCTGTTCATTGCATTTATTTAAGAATGAAATAAGGCACAGCAGGGAGGGGGTGGGTGGAGGCAGAAGAGGATATAAGGGGGACAGTCATGGGAAAAAGACAATAAACATAAATTCAAAAAAAATAATGAAAGAAAAATGTGTCCTTTCAATGGATGTCTTGTTTTTTTTTAAACAGCTATTAAATTGTGAGGACATAAATGCTTAAGTTGCTTGCAGGGTGAGAACGTCCTTCATACATAAAACTGTGACATGTTTCTCTCACACGTCCTGGAGAGGCCATGGAAGGTGATGGACACACGAAGGATGCAGAGATTGGGGACCTCTGGAAGAGCACGGATTCTGCTCCCTGGCAAAAACGGGGCCTCTTCCCATAGCCAGGAAACCCCTGTGACCCACCGGGGCCTCCCAAGTTTTCACACCTGCAAGCAAAATCCCCCTGAGAGTCACCATGCATAGGCAATTTGAATACTAAGGGGCCCTCACACATGCCTTGAGGAAGGTCAGTTAGGACAGAGTGTGCATGCACAAGAACACGGTGGGGGTGTCAGAGCAGAGGTCATGGGGATGTAAAGTGCAGCATTGGGAAGACAGCTGACAATATTCTAATAACCACGTGTGGTGTCAGATGGCTGTGAGATTTATTGGGATGATCAGTGAGTTACACAAATGTCTAGTCACTGGTGTGGACTCCTGACGGTAATATAATTTTGTATGTCAACTGCAATTGAAAAGTAAAAATGATTTAAAAATAAAAAAGAAAGAAAGAAAGAATGAGAGAAAGAGAGAGAGAAAGAAAGAAAAGAAAGAAAGAAAAAGAAAGAAAGAAAGAAAGAAAGAAAGAAAGAAAGAAAGAAAGAAAGAAAGAAAGAAAGAAAGAAAGAAAAACTTTTCTACCCACAGGGGGAAAAAACAAATGTCCGATCTCTGGACTCCAGATTGCCCTCTCCACAAAGGCTCAGCATTTCCCACCGCAAAGGTGAGAGCTGCACAGATCCTCCAAGGAACATCCGGCTCCTGTGGGGACCTGGGAAGCACGAGCCCACGTGAGAGCCCCAGCTCCACAGTCAGCTCATGACGTCACCCTGGAGAGGTCCCATCCCCACTCTGAGCCTCATCCCACCACGGAGGAAGAAACAGAGTGGGCCTAGGTGCTTCCTGAGGCATCTTCTTTACCTGAGGCAGAGGACGTGGGAATGTTCCCGCATCTATGTCTAGGTCCCTCCAGCAGAATGAATGTGTTAGCACAAGCCAAAGCTCAGTATTCAACAGGACAAGTTCTAGGGCCATGGGTGTCTGCCAGCATCCCGGAGGTCGGCAGGTGTAGATCGGAAGAGAGGAGGCGAAAGGTAGGAACCCCAAGTCTAGTGAGCAGGAAGGCAGGTGAGTGGACAGGGCAGGAGAGAGCATCAGGGCGTCAGGAAAACACAGGGAGACTGGTAAGGAGGCACACACGCAGGGCAGGCTGAAACACAAAGGCAAGTGGATGGACAGGTGAGACCGTGGGAGAGAGAGAAAAGCATCAACACAGAAAATCAGGAGGGCATGGGAAGAAAGGCAGGCAACTGGGCAGACAGGCAGAAGGACAGACAAAAGGACAGGTGAAGATGAATGGACAGATGGGCAGAGAGACCACAGAAAATGGACAGAAGGGTAGACAGGGCTAGAGGGCAGAAGACAGGGAAAAACAGGATGACTAGCAAAAAAGAAAAGCAGGCGCATCAATGGGCAATCACTCAGGCAAGGGGGCCTGGGGTGAGACAAAGGTAGTGACCCCGGTGGCGGAGGGCAAAGCATAAGGCCAGGAACCGACACACCCGAAACAGGTGGACCGCCAGCCAAAAAGGCAGCCTACCTCGCGCTTCAGGGACAGGGGCCTGTGTTCAGGATAGTCCCAGCCCGCCTCGCAAGGCTGTGTCTCATTGAAGCGGTGGCTGAGGATGTCCTCCAGGCTGGCGCCATCAGGGGGAGGCCGGAACATGAGGCAGGGCTCAGGGTTGCCCGCAGCGTCCAGCGGCACGCTCAAGGCCAGCTGCTCGGCAGCGCTCAGGTTCAAGGTGAGGTTCTTGACCCACGCCACTGAACAGTAGTGGATCTCCTCCTCCAGGACCATGAAGACTTGGGAAAACGTGAAGAAAGCAGACAGAAAGTTGGGGACAAACAGCAGCAGCAGCAGCTGTATCTGAAAGCGACCGAAGTTGCCAATTTCGGTCAGGACCTGAGAAAACTGAACCATGTCTACTGGTCACCAGGTCCTCAGCCTAAGACGAGCAAGGAGCTCTGCACCTTGGCCCTGGGTTATGCGCTCCTCTTAGCTGTGATGATCGCTGCTTTAATGTTTAATCCGGCCTTGCCCACAGCCACCTTCATACCTCAGCTCCCAGGCAAGATAAGGCTGGGATGAAAAAGAGTCCACTCCGGCTTGCAGAATCAGAGGATGTTTTATTGACTACGTGATAGATGCTGGCCTCACGTGAAACAAGGGAACCTTCTCAGGCCCAGCACAAAGGGCAGAGTCTCACCCAAACACCACACAGGACCCACCCCAGCCTCACCAACTGCCACATCCTGAACAATTTACACCCAGTCCAATAGAACCCAAATTCTGAGAGTAGTTGCAATACCCAAAGGCACACCGAAGTGTCCCTTCTAGCAACCAGCCCGTGTTAGGAGAGCTGCAAGGACCCATATTTATTAACTCTGCCCGTGGACCAATCCAGTTCTTGACTCTGACGATCTCATCTTTCTCCTGTGCCTCCTGGTGCTCGTGGTAGGTGACACTGGGCAGTGCCAGGGCAGCGTGAGGGCCAGGAGACCCACCAAGGGCACACATTCCTTTGCTTTTCAGCACCAAAGACAGTTCGAGAGTGCAGAGAAAGTACAGAGGAGCCATGAGCTGCATTTCGATCCCTACTCTAGGAGTCACCGCAAAGACAAGGCCAATGTTAAAAATCAATGCCAGCTGCCCCAGAGTAGCCCCAGCGACCCCAGCCAATCTCCATGACAACAGAAGAACACAGGACAAAGTCTCTCCACCACAGGCCCCCAGCTATGGAAGCCCAGATGGTGGCTGCCCTAACCTTGCTGGAGTTGGGATTCTTACAGGGCTGGGGACTTGACAAAGGGAGGATCTCAAAGAGGAATCCTCCCCTTGGATGGCATTTAGTTCAGTTGTGGGAGTTTGGGAATGAGGACTTAAAGAGAATACTAGGAAAAAAAATACACATGTATATATGCACAGACATTCACATTATTTGCTTGTGTGTGAATAAGAAAGCCTTATAGCCCTGGCTGGGTGGCTCATTTGGTTGGAGTGTCATCCTGTACACCACAAGGTTGTAGGTTCAATCCCTGGTCAGGGCACATACCTAGGCTGCAGGTTCGATTCCCAGTTGGGGTGCATACAGAAAGCAACTGATTGATGTTTGTCTCTCATATTGATGTTTCTCTCTCTCCCTCCCTCCCCACTTCCTCTCTGTCTCAAATTAATAAATACATCCTCAGGTGAGGTTAAAGAAAAAGTCTTTCCATATTCCCAACTTTAAACTATTTTAAGACAGGCAGAGGAACACGGGGGAAGGGAACCCGAGGAAGCCAGGCTGTGCAGGCGAAGTCCCAGATACAGTGTGCCTGCGTCTCTCTGGCCCGGCCTCTGGCGGCCTTTCGTGATTCAGCCTGTATTTCTGTATTTCGGGTGGTCTGCTCCCGCAGACCATGGGGAGCAGAGGTAAGGGGACCCGATGCCGCAGGAGAGCCCTTTCCTCTCCACCACCCACCCCACACTCCCCACCAGGCAGTATCTCTCATGAACAAGAATGCCAAAAGCCCTCAATGAAATAGTAGCAACCTGAGTACAACAATGTAGAAAAGGAGTTTTACACCATGACCAGGTGAGATTTATCCCAGGTGTGCAAAGCTAGCCCAACATTTGAAAATTAAATGTCATCCTTCACATCAACAGGCTAAGGGGTGGGGGTGGGGGGGGAATCACATGATCACATCAATAATGCAGAAAAAAAATTTTAACAAAATTCAATACCCATTCATGATCAAAATTCTCAGCAGACAAGGACGAGAGGTGACCTCCTCCACTCGGTCAAGAACAGCTACAAAAAGCCTGTTGCTAACATCGTGTTTGATGATGAGAAACCAGAAGCTTTTCAGAACAAGGCGGGAACTTCTCTCATCATGGCTTTTCTTGAAAAGGTTTTTTTTATTTATTGATGTTTTTAGGGGTGGGGAGGGCAGGCAGAGGAACACTGATTTGTGGTTCCATTTATTTAAGCACTCATTGGCTGGTTCTCGGGCGTGCCTGACTGGGGATGGAACCACAACCTTGACGTATCGGGACGCAATGCTCTGTCCAACTGACTGAGCTCCCTGGCCAGGTCACCGCTGCTTTTCCTCTTCTTCTTCTTCTTCTTCTTTTTTTTTCTTTATAGAAGGCTGAGCATTCAGTTTAACCATTGCTTTTCAACACCACACTGGACAGCCTCCTACATAATTTAATGACATAAAGGAAGAAAAGGTATATAGATGGGGAAGAGAAAAGAAAACTGTCTTTATTTGCCGATGGCATGATTATCCATATGAAAAACCCAAAGGAATCACCAGCATAATACCCCTGACTAACAAGTAGCTACAGAGTAAGGCTGCAGTGTGTGAGGTTAATACACACAGGCTATCACTTCCCCGTGTAACAACTATGAACAAGGGGAATTTGAAATTAAGAACAGTATCACTTACGTTATCACCCAGAAATGAAATACTGGTGTAAATCTAACAAACTATGTGCAAGATCTATTTAAGGAAAACTACAAAATACTGATGAAGAGAAACAAAAAAAGAACTAAATAAATGAGGAGATATTCTATGTTCACAGATAGGAAGACTCAATATTGTCAGGATGTCCATTCTTCTCAACTTGACCTAGCAATTCAACATGATTCCAGTCAATACCCCAGAGAGTTGTTTTGTGATTACTGACACACTGATTCTAAAGTTTACATAGAGAGGCAAAAGAGGCAGAATAGCCAACACATGACTGAGGAAGAACAAAGTCAGAGAACTGACAGTTCTTGACATCAAGACGTACTACAAAGCTACCATACTGAAGACGGTATGGCATGAGCAAGAGAACAGATCCATCAGTGGAACACAGCAGAGAGCCTAGAAATAGACTCACAGATTCAACTGATCTTTGACAAAGGAGCAAAGGCAATACAATAGAGCAAAGGTAGTTTTTTAAATAAATGCAGTGAAACAACTGGACATCCACAGGCAAAAATCCCTGAATCTAGACATAGACCTCATACTCTTCACAAAAATTAACTCATAATGGACCATAGGCCACGATGTAAACAGCAAAACTATATAACTCACAGAAGATAACATAGGCAGAATATCTGCACGATGTGGGCATGGTAATGACCTCTTAGATACAACAGCAAAGACATGATCCATGAAAGAAATTAACTGATAAGCTGGACTTCATTAAAATGAAAACATTTGGCTCTGCAAGAGAATGAGAAGACATGCCACAGACTGGAAAAAAAATACTTACAAAAGAGGTATCTGATAAAGAACTCTTATCCAAAAACTCTTAAAAGTGAACAATAAGCAAACAAACAAGCTGCTTAAAAATGGGCTTTAGCCCTGGCTGGCGTAGCTCAGTGGATTGAACACAGGCTGCGAACCAGGCATCGCAGGTTCAATTCCCAGTCAGGGCACATGCCTGGGTTGCAGGCCATGGCTCCCAGCAACCACACATTGATCTCTCTCTCTCTCTCTCTCTCTCTCTCTCTCTCTCTTCCTTCCCTCTCTAAAAATAAATAAATAAAATTTTTAAAAAAATGGGCTTTAGACCTTAACAGATACCTCACTGAAGAATATATTCAGATAGCAAATTAGCCTATCAAAAGTTGTTCATGTCATCAGAGAACTGTAAATTAAAATGTGGTGCCACTGCACACCTATTATGACAGACGGAGTCTGAAACACCGATACCACCAAACGCTGGCGAGGACGTGAAGCACAGGATCTCTCATCCACCGGGCACTCTGAGAGATGGCTGGTGCATCTCACAAAACTAGACAGACTCGTGTTACACAGTCCACAATGGGGCTCCTTGGTTATTTACCCAAAGGAGCTGAAAAATTGTGTCTACACAAAATGAATGTGTATGGCACTTTTATCCATAACTGCCCAAACTTCTGATTAGGTGAATGGATTAATATATCCAGACATAGAATGTTATTCAACGCTAAAAAGACACGGGCTGTCAAGCCACGGAAAGACATGGGGAAACCTTAAATGCATCTAAGTGAAGGAAGCCACTCTGGGAAGGCTGTGTACCGTAGGATTCTAACTAGATGACATTCTGGAAAAGGCAAAGGCATGGAGACAGTAAAATGACCAGCAGTTACCAGGGACAAGAGGGGACAGAGGAACGAACAGGCAGAGCACAGAGGATGGTAGGGCAGAGAAACCCCTCTGTACGACTGTGATGATGGGGTACATGCCATTATGCAGTTGCCCAAACCCGGAGAATGCACAGCGGGAACAGGGAACCTGCATGTGCACTGTGGACTCTGAGTGATAATGGAGGTTATCAGTGTAGTAGGTTCATCGACTGCAATACACGCACTCCTCTGGTGTGGGATGTTTAGCAGTGGGCAGGCCTGTGCGCATGCAGGTTCAGGGGGTATATGGGGGCTCTGCCTGCCTTCTGTTCAGTTTTGCTAGGGATCTAAAACTGCTCGGGAAAAATCAAAGGGTAGGTGAGCTGACCCAAAGAAGGAACCCATGAACTGCTGCACTGCACTGTTCCTACAAAGGAGCAGAGCTGGGGAATCGGGCCTCTTGACAAGATTTCATCTTGCTAGAGGTAATGAGCAAGTTGTCCCTTTGTCCCTGCATACACCACGGTCACTTCTGAACAACTGGCACCTCCCTGTCCTGACAATAGTCAGAGTCCACTTTTATGACCTTTATCTTAAGAACAAACCCAATCAGACCTGACACTGCGATATCCCAAGGCTCCAGGACTTGAGCTCTGGATTGCCAAGACCCACCGGCAGTCCTATTGTCGGTCAAAGGTCACCTTCTGTTGGGAAGGAATTATGATCAGACACTGACTTACCCAGGAGGTGGACAAAGACTCGGGGCCTAGAATCTTCCACGGAACCTCACCATTGCATTATCAAAGCCAAATTAGACCAGCTCGGCCCTGCTCTGAGCTTTCCAAAAGGAACTCCCGAGAGCTGGAATCAGGCATCTCTCCCCTGCCCCACCCACGAGCAGAGCCAATCAGAAAAAATCAACACAGGAGCGCTCTATCCCACCCTGTCCAATTTCCTTGGGCAGGTCCCCTCTCCCCGCTTTTGGGATGGCCGTTTCGCTGTTTGTAAAATGACTGTAAGCTGTTCGCATTTGTAGATCACACGTACTTTGTTTTAGTTTATGTACACTTCAGCTTTTCTGTATTTGCATGAAAAAGTAGACTTAGTAGTGACTCCCTGACCCACTCCCACTACCCGCCACTGAAGTAAAGATTCCTTACACCACCGGACAATTTACTCTTTATTGATTAAAAATGAAGAAAACATGCAGCAAAATACAAAGTCAAAAAAGGGGGAGGAGTCAAATATTTTACATCTTCCATAATCTAGCAAACGTCATAGGGAGGAACCTCCATTTATTGATACACCATTATTCCATTCTCCAGATTATTAAATAGTTACCAGCTGGCTCTAGGATTTGGTTCAAAACTTAAGCAAAAAACCCCAAACAAATCCAACAGTCATTTAGAAAGACCATACATTTCACAAACAGCATTGGCACATGTTACCTTGTGCTAAAGTCAGTCCCTACCCCAGGGACCAGGGACTCCTGGGGACCTCAGGACAGAGGTGCACCCTCAACCGCCCACCACTTCTGTAAAGGAGTGAGGTCTCTCACTAGGTCACGTGCTGTCCCACCCGGAAAGCTTCTGTTCACTGATATTCTCAGCATCACTGCGCAGTCGGCAAAGAGCCCACCGTCATGCAGAAGAAGAAATAACACTGTCCTAGGGCTGGGTGACGACTCCTAATTCCCAGCAGGGCAAAAAATGAACTGAAAGGAAGGAGAAAGCCCCAGCTCACTTCTACGGCCATGCCTGTCCCACCGCAGTTCCCGGGCAGCAGCTGGCTGCAGAAACCGAACCCAAGGATGGGCTGCGGCCTACCCCCAGCCTGAGCTTCAGATCAGCCCCAAAGAGAAAGCCAGACCAGTGACGCCGCGCCCCTCGGACTCCTAAGTAGATCATGACGGGCTTACTTGACACTGAAACACAGACTCTACGTTAAGCCACTAGTCTTGGCCCAAACAGGATACTACCTCCTTTTCCAACTTCCTCCTCCCTCCCTGTCCTCCTTCCTTCTACCCGCCTCCAGAGAAAAGAAAAAAGAAAAAAGAAAACAAGAAAAAAGAAAAGAGCTACGTACTCCTCCCCCACCCCCGCAAGCTGATCACCCTCCTTCCCTCTCTCCAGGAACAGCAGGCTCCCTCCTGCTCACAGTCCTGCGGGGACCGTGGACTTGGGTGTCTGGTCCTCTCTCCAACCTGCTTTCCTCCCAACCCCCATCTCAGACCCATTCCTGCCCCTACTGCCCAACATCCACCCCTTTCCCAACATGCCTCTGCATCCAGAGTAGGTGAAGAAAGCCCGTGACTGAAGCTACAAGCCCAGGGCGACACCGGAGCTGTGACAAGCCAACTGTGGCCAGCTGTGGGACAGCTTTCGGAGATGCTCCAAGAGAAAACCGGGTGAGGCAATCCCGCCGTTCACAGGCCAGCGGTGCTGCCAAGGGCCGGCCCCACTGCGCGAGGGGCCACTCTCCCTCCCCCACGGGCCGAAGCCCTTCTGCGTGCGTTGTTTTAAGGCCGGACTGAGGATCCCTTTTGCGCACACGAGGTGTCAGGGCCATCTGCAGCTAGACAAAGGCTGGCTGTGAAACAGTAGGAAGAAAAACCACCCCACTGGTTATTCACATATTGCATTATGAGTGCTCTGTTTTAAGACCTAAAGAATAATTTATATTATTTCTGTAGAAAATCAAATGAATACTGTCTACTCAGAAGTCCTAAGTCACGGCACATGTGGTTTCACTTTCCGCCTGGGGTCGGGTGCAGCGCGGCGCGGCCCCTCCGGGGGCCGGCGTGGGCCTCCTTTATTGCTGTGGAAATCTCGGCCTTGCGACTCCTCGGGACCCAGAGGCCAGGCAAACGGATTTTCAAGGGAGGACTGAGGAGGAGTTTTGCTTCAGTTTAATTTTTGTCAATTCTCAAAATAAATAACTTCCACAATGATATGAGTTATGATTTTTCTGTCCAAAACCACTGCTGAGAAAATTCACGTTTACAAGCCAATACTCAACGTTTTCTCTAAAAACAGTTCAAAGTTCCACCGTGAAGGACCCGATGGCTGAAGTCCGACTACAGTCGGGTGTTTGCACCAGCTGAAGTTAAGGCGGGCACCCCTCTCCGGGGGGGCGGGAGGGAGGGCGAGGGGTGCCTGAGAGCAGCTTCAGCAGAACGCGGAGGAGACATCAGGAACAAAACCAGAAGACAGTTTAGGCTGCCTCCATCTGAGGCTGTGCTTTTTCCTAACAAAGGCTGCTAGAATTCACATCAGATACAAAAAAAAAAAAAAAAATCGCTAGATTAAATTCTCTGGACTCCAGCTGAGCAGTCGACTCTTAATCGCTACTCCAGTGGGGGTGCAGAGAGAGCCCAAGACGCCCACGTCCTGTCAGGGGTGGGAAAGCGGGCCGCCGAGGAAGCCCCGGAGAGCCGCTCCTGTCCGCCCGGAGCGGTGCCGACACCGAGCGAGGCGACACCGAGTGAGGCGAGGCCAGGCCAGGCGAGCTGACAGATCTCCCTCCTGGGCCTTGAGGCACGCGGGCCGCTTCTGAGCCGGAGGAAAAGACAGGGCGTGTGCGGGGAGTTTACTAACGGAACTCTTTCAAAGGGACGCTGGCCACCGGGGATCCAACTTTTCTTTCCCTGTGGGAAAGGGGGGATGGCGGCAGGAAGAACATACAGAAAGACCCCTAAAGCTCCTAGCTGGGAGGCTCGCTGCCGGGTTCTTTGGCAGTAGTGGGTTCGGGCCGACAGAAGCAACAGAGATGCGCAGGTGCGGACTCTCCCGAGGCCCCCTCTTCCAGGGCGGTCCTTTAGCTGATGCTGAGCTGGGCAAACCCTATGAGTTTGCTGTCGTCGGGAATGTCCGAGCCTTCGACACCAGATGCCTGAGAACCAAACAAAATAAGAGGCTGTGGCTATTTATACACAAACTGCGGGTGGCGATTAAAACTGAGAGGGGGACTGTGGGAAGGCTGGCAGTGGGGCACAGGTCCCTGGGAAACAACCAGGAGGCAGGCGGAAGGTGTCTCTTCCAGAAAGGATCGGGGCTGGGCACGGAGTTGGAGCCAGAGGGGCTCAGGGTCTCTCCCGAGAACGGCCAAGGGCCCGGGCGGGAGGCTGCCTGGGAGGGGCCGAGGAGGGGAGGCCACGCAAAGGGAGACTGCAGCTCAGGGGCTGGGGGCGCCAAGTGAACACAACGTGTGATACTGTAAAAGTCTCATCGCCCAGGGAACGTGGAAGCTGGCCTGCAAAGGCTGCTGGAGCACACTGAGTAAGATGGTTTAATAGAGGGGAAGAGACAGACAAATACCAGTTTGAAAGTGACGGATCGATTCGACTGAGGTTCTTCCACAATCTTCTGCAAATTAGCTGCCACTGTAATCACACAGAGAGAGAACTGAGAAGCTTAGTAAATCCACTTTCAACCATATTTTAAGAACTCAAATGGTAGTTTAGAATTTTCTATGTACAATTAAAATGGAGGCAGAAAGATAAATCACTCCCCAAAGGACAGTATCTTTTAACCTCAATTCCAAGTAGCACAAATAAATCTCAAATACTGTCAAATGAACTCTAACACGCTGTACTGACTCACAAAAGACGCTCGGGTTCAAGAGGTAGGTATGACCTGCCTATTCACAGACCCGAACACCAGCGAACTACGGCCTGGGGACTGTCCCTGCTCTGCCTCTGAGCTAGGAACGCTTTGAAAACGACAGACTGAACAGGACCCACAGAGTCTAAGTTACTAAGTGGCCCTTCACAGAAAGACTTGACTGATTTGCCCCAGACACTGGTCTTTTTCCTCAGTAATAAGTAAGTACGGCCGGACTACCTTCTCTTACTTCCTGCTGTTTCCAGGACTAAGTCTCTGAGAACTTTTGCTGACCTCTTAGCGCCGCAAGGATAGATAGAGGTCATCCTCCAAGATGGATGAGACATGGCCACGCTTACTTGAACTTGGGCTTTTTGTCCTCAGCCCTCCCAGACTCTCCCAGGGGGCTTTCACTTACTGTCCCCGGAGGTCACAAAGCAAATCAGAAGTGCCATTTTCCTTTTTGTAAGGGACGGTCCCCAATACCTATTGTCTTGGCCAAGAACTATTCCAAGAACCACCGATGCTCAATGGAACCAAAGCCTGGCACTCCTAGTCCTAAGTTCCAGACAGAGCCCCGGGGACGTAAGGGCAGAACGGAGCGGAGTTACCTATGACTAAATCCCTTCCATCGACCAGGCCGGCAGAAATGAGCTCCTGGGAGACGCCCTCCGCTGTATCTGCAAGGACAAAGAAGAAGGTGCTCCATTTCCTGTGCGCGTGCGCCACTGCTCCTCTCAGAGCAGGTGCAGGCACTGCCCGACTCTCGCAGCTACGTCTGCAGCACCAGGAAGGCAGGTGGGGGTCGACATAAAGATAACTCTGTAAGTAATGGTGTCGTTCAGAGGGGTCCCGGGCCCTTGTTGGGAGAGCACCTGACAGTGATGCTGCGGAGGAAGCCCCTATTCTGAGGGCAGCCCGGCACCCGAGCCTGAGACGTGATGACAAGCACGTGACTTCTCCAGGGCTAATGAAACAGTGGTATTTTTCCCCCTCAGTTAAATCTTGGAAAAGCGAAATGTAATCTCGCATTTCTGGGGATCACACTCCAAGTTTTCTGCTCAGGTCATTTCTGTATTACGATGGGCCTTTCTTCATATCTAGTTATTTTGGATGGTGTCGTGAGAACAACGGGTGCAATGAACAACTAAAAAGATGGAGACAGAGGATCCCCATTAACCTCGCCTCCAACGGACTCCGTCCTGCTCCCCCGCGAGAGCTGAACGCCGAGCCCATCAGAGGGGACGGGAGGACCTCAGGAGGGGGTGTGCACACACTTGTGCCAACGACCAGTGACTTCAGTTAGTTATTGGACACGTGACTCTGCCTGGTTTTTAAAAAGGAAAGCGAACCGCCGTGGCTGATGGGGCCAGCAGATTCAGACTGTGAACCGAAGGGTTGTCAGTTCAATTCCAGGTCAGGGCACATGCCTGGGTTCCAGGCCAGGTCCCCAGTTGGGGGTGTGTGAGAAGTAACCAACTGATGTTTCTCTCCCTCTCCTTCTCCCTCCCTGCCCTCTCTCTAAAAATAACTAAATAAAATCTTTTTTTAAAAAAAGTACGGTGGCCCTGGCTGGCGTAGCTCAGTGGATTGAGCACAGGCTGCGAACCAGGCATCGCAGGTTCGATTCCCAGTCAGGGCACATGCTAGGTTGCAGGCCATGGCCCCCAGCAACCGCACACTGATGTTTCTCTCTCCCTTCCCTCTCTAAAAATAAATAAATAAAATCTTAAAAAGTACGGTGAATGCACTCCTGTACATCTGCATCTGTTCTCTTCAACGGTTGGATGCTGATGACACTACGACAGCAAGAAGATTGAGCACGGCACGGAGGACAGGCATCTGCTTGCTCTCCCCAAACCTGACCCGAGTCCCACAGGCAACAAGCCTGGTTCCTGGAAGACATCCGTGGCCAGAAACTATGCACCACAGGCTCAGTTTCAGCCTCAGGACAGAGGAGACTGGACGCTTTGTTTCTTTATTGTCACGGAGGACAACCGTATCAGGTGATAAGAGTGAGAACTTTGCACTCGGACAGACTTGGGTTTGAATTCCAGCTGCACCTCTTCCCGGCTGTGTGAACTGCCAGTGTACTCCACCTCTCTCTCGATTTCATCATCTAAACAATGTGGATAGTTGTCTTTATTTACAGGGCTGTTTTGAGAACTTTATGAGATAATGCACATTACCAGAGCACATGCCTGGCCTACAGTAAACAGTTGATGTAGAGCTATTCTCATTACTGGTCTGCATTACACAGCTGACCCTTGGACAATGCTGGGGTTGGTGAGGGGCTGCTGATGCCAGTGTGGCTGAAAATCTGTGTATAACTGTGGGCTCCCCCTGGAACGTAACTTCTAATAGTTTACTGTGGACTGGGAAGCCTTAGCAATAACATAAACAATCAATTAATGCATACTCTGTATGTTACGTGTATTGTATGTTACAGTCAAAGTAGAGGAAAAAAATGTTATTAAGAAAATCATAAGACGGGATTCATTTACAGTACTGATTGAAAAAATCTGTGTATAAGTAGACCCATGCAGTTCAAACCCTTGCTGTTCAAGGGTCAACTATACTAGGTTTTCCAAATGAGTTAGTAGTTAATAAACTGCATTTTAATTTCATTCCTAACACCTTTAAATCCGGGACAATTTGTCATCCTTTAACACAGCAAAATGTATCTTAAGGACAAACTTTCACAACAGAGCTCATGGAAGAAATCGCAAGGTGTTTTGATTCCAGTGTTTTTGATAACTCACCTCTCCCAGGAGTAAACTCAAATCGAATGTCATTTAGTTCCTTTTTGGAATTCCTATAAAAAAAACCAAACAGACTGTGTAAAATCAATTTTGAATGTATGTACACAGACTCTGCCGACATTCACATCAGGAGTCTGGGCCTCAGGAAAGACTGTTCTGTTCCCGCAGAGCATGTGCCCGGTCCTGACGGGCTGGGAATCTGCAGACAGTTTTTTGACAGGACTCAATGGGCAGGTAGGGCTGAGGCAGTCTGAGAACATGGGAAAATGGCTGGGCCCATAAAGGCAGCAGGGTTGGTACATAAACCCATAGATTCAAACACGTGACTGGTGAAGAAGTTACAGCAATCACTACATACCCGGTGGCCTGAGATGAACCAGGCCCCCTGGAAGCCCTGGCTGAAGGTGGAGAAATTAGAACACCATGTCTAAAAAGGCAGGTGTGTCTGATTCCTCAGGACCCAAATTTTATCTCAACAATGCAGAGGGCTTGGATCTACTTGACAAATACTTGAGAATGTTACTGAAATTTTGCTCAAAATACAGCTATCCACCTCCAACACAACCTGCCCCCAAGGGACTCTGTCCCCTGCACCGCCCTCCCTGTGCGCCTGCATCCAGACCTGTGCTTCTGCAAGTGCACCACCTGGAATTGGTTTTGACATAATTCAAATCAACCTCCGACCTAGGCTTGACTATCAAGTGCGGCATTGCACTTTCTCTTCTGTTGGTAGCCTTCCACAATAGCTCAGAGTGCCATATGTAGTCTGCTGACCACGTAATTGTCCCATTTGGTCTTTCTGAAAGCTGCTTAAAATTAAGATCAAATGTTCAGCATCACTTTACTGATATAACTGACATGCCGAGCACACACATCTTTAAAGACAGTAACATGCTAGCTGGTCTAAACTTCCTCTGGTCATTTAACTTCAAAGTCTTCATCAGTGCGAATAAGAATCTAGCCTTCCCCTCCGCAAACAGGACTGCAATGTAGTCCGTTAAGACACCACTGTCTCAAAAAGCTAACTGCCTCGCTTACAAGTGTCTTCCCCACCTTCCTGCAGCACATGTCAAATGGTACTACCTATCGACTGCTGTATCAAAACAAATTCTCAAGAAGAGACCAGAGGCATTCTTTATGTACAATTAGAACAGGGTGAGACCACTAAGACGCCGTTAACTCAGAGCCATCTGAGACGAGACGAGGCGCACTGAGTGGGCTTCTGTAAAGGACAGTCAGCCAAACCTGCTTCCTTCACACTTACGGCACAATTCCATTGCTCTTAGTGGTAAAATCAGACATTCTCAAAACAGCTCTTGCTACCACTATCTCTAATTATGGTCCTAATGAGAAAAAGACCAGGAATTCATAAGTGGAAGGTGGAATGAGTCAATATAATTCAGTGAACCCTTTTTAAAATGTTAGTAACAGTTAAGTCCTGAGCCATTTCAGGTGATGCTTGTAAAACTCATCTTTTTTCAAGAGCATTTATGAGTGGGACAGCAATACAACGCCCACAGCTATTCTGGTAACAATGCTCTCAGACCCTAATTCAACTGCCTGCAGAGGGAGAGAGGGGTAACACGAACAGATCGCCACCTAGGGCACTTCCTGTGAGCGATGTGTCAGGGCCCCACCGAGAAGCATCAATTTAGAGCACTTGCTACAACGCAGAGAAACAGACCCAAACTATGCTTAGAGGTGCTCCCATTCCTTTCTAAGAATCAGGCCTTGGTCTGATCTATCACAGTCAGAAGGCAGTGCACTCTTGGGACAGTTCTCTCAGGGTCCAGGGCGTTTATTTGGTCACGATTACAAGACTAACTCCAGACAAGCCAACTTAGTGCTGCTCTCCTAAAAACTGCTCCTCAACAATGGGCCACATTCCTGACCCTGAACTGCGTATACTGCAAATGGACAAATGTGTCACTGTGGGTGGAGAAACAACTGGGAGAATGTATCAGTTGATCTGTTCACACCCAGGTCCTCCGAGTGTTCCTATTACTTTCGAGGGAGATAATACACCTGCGGGCCAACGGCACTCGATGCCAGGAAGACACATGGTCCTCTCCGGTTACTCCCGGGCACACACACGACTGGAACAAGGAGTGACTTCTGAAGACAGTGTACTCGGAGTACTCAGACCACAGACCAAAATACAGACGTCTACTTACCTTAACCTTAGCACTAGACTGATGGGGATCTTGGTTTCCTGGGAGTCCCCTCCTGAAGACAGAGCCTAAAAGCACGGAGAGGCGGACAGTCACTGCCTGGACAGTGAAGCGTGCAGGTGGCCAGTGCCGGGCACCTGCAGAGGAAGGGTCCCCTCGGCAGCACCCCTCTCCGTCTCCGGGCGAGGCCGCCCGGGTCCCCAGGACGCCCCCCGCTGTGGGGGCCGTGCACTCCAGGGCAGCAACGGGAGCTGAGTGCCAGCCTGAGCCGAACGCCATCGGAAAGGTAATTCTCAAACCCGCATCTAAGTCCATGCGGAGCCACATTTAAATTCTGTATTTTTCCCAGATCCCTGTTTCTCTCTCTAAGGGTGACAAACACCAAGCTAGGCTTTGCCCTTCAGAAAACCTGCCAGTGCACCCCGTGGCAGCACACAGGTAGGGTCTGAACTGGCCGCCCCTGGGAAAGCCTCCCGACCTGGAGGTTCCTGGTCTTTCAATGGCTGAGCTACTCCTTTCTGAAACTTGACAGCCATGTCCTGCTTACTGGATGACACACATCCTATGTAAGTTGTTTATAAAATGAATCTGATCTGTGTGCCCATTTTCATAAGACAGCTCTATCTTTTCCCATGGGATGGGCAGCCATGGACGGCTCGGGTGGTGCACGGGTCACAGGGAGTCAGCACCGTGACGAGCTGGAAGTGCTCAGCGGTTTCCGAAGGCAGACCGCCACTGGGGTGCCAGAGAAAAGGAAAACCAGAACTTCCGTTTTTACTTCTTTCCACCTAAAGTGTTGGAAAAAAACGAAACCTCTAACTTGAACACGTGAACCGACACTGAAGCCCATACTCTAAAAGCACGGAGTAGGAGGGCCCACGCCGGACGGGGCCCCCGAGGCTTCCTGGGGAAGGAGCGGCGGCGGCACAGCCCGGGGGGCTCGCGGCGGGGCCTCGGGCCCAGTCTGAGTGCGCCTGACTGTGTGGACTTGCAGGTTACGTTACCCCGTTTTCATGGAACCGGCCCTGACAACACTGACGAGTGTCTTGAAAAGGGTAGTACTGTGGACTGGAGGCAGCATTAATAAGTAACACAAACGTAAGTCAACGAAAAGAGAACAGCTGATGACTTCCCTGGTGTCCAGATAACTCTGTCAGCTGCATCTTGAAGTTAAACATAGTAAGGATCTCATAAAAAGGTAACAAGTAAACTCCCAAATTTTTGATGTTTGAAATGTTTCCATTGTTAACTTATTTTTTTTGTATAAAAACCTGTGTGATTCTTGTAACACTCTCTCATCTGCATACATTTAAAACTGTGAAAAAACAATTCTAACTTGTTTCAAAATCTCCTAAGATACTGACCTTATTACATTAGGTTGTGCTCTACATTACTCTGTGCGTTCACCATCTCCCCCAAGAGCTAACCGTGAGCGCAGACCCCGCTTTACCTGAGCTGTTTTTGCGGGCTCTGCGGGGGGCGGGAGAGAGACTTGAGTTGGCGGTGCGGGCGTCTGCCCAGCGGGCTGAGGTAGATGAGCAGAAATCTGTTCTGGAACTTGAAGTAAAGTACCCACGGGATCGGTTGTTGGAAACAGCTGTAACAAAAGCACATATAATGCACGTCCTTGAATACCGTTTCACTCAACAGCACTGAACTATGCTTTCTTTTGTATCTTTCACTTAGGTAGTTTTCTGAGGGTCAGTGATGGTGCAGCATGTAATAGCTCACATGGATTTCTTCAGAATAGCAGTTCATTATATCATATTTATTTTTTAAAGATTTCATTTATTTATTTTTAGAGAGAGGGGGAGGGAGGAAGAGAGGGAGAAAAACATTGATGTGGGAAACAAACATCCATCTGTTGCCTCTCGTATGTGCCCCGACTAGGGACCGAACCCGCAACCCGGGCATGTGCCTTGACTGGGAATCAAACCAGAGACCATTCACTTTGTGGAACGGTGCCCAACCAACTGAGCCACGCTGGTCAGGGCTCACATTTATTTTTAACTACACCTACTCTGTCCCCTTTGCCCGGAAAAATAGAACATCCAAAATACAGATTTAGGTATGCAATACAAACTTACAGAAGGTACATTTTTCTATGTCCAGGGACTATCTATTACTTATAAAGAAACACATCAACCAATAATTCCTTAACATACCTGAAATATTTTTCAAACTGGACATGAAACTTTATAACTAACATACACATTATTATATTATTTTACATGTTTGAAATTTTTCGTAAATTTTAATTATGTAACTTGGAGAAAAAAGGTTAGTGAAAAGAAATCAAGGCAATGGTCAAAACTGAGAGTTACAAGAGAAAAAGAATTAGAAGGGCGATACAAGAGGTCTAACAGCTCAGAATACATAAGCCCAATCAAGGAGACAAGGAAGTCAAGTTTTGTATTCATGTAGCTTCATAAGAGGGAATTAAAAATTACTTGTTTGTTCTGGATTTTGGTAGAAAAACAGAACTTTACAATCAGTTTTCAAAATGTTAATATAATTATTAACACTGTTTCAAATATGTTTACCAACAACAAAGACAGAGAAGTTGTACACAGCGAAGCAAGGAGAGGATGTGCAGCAATCAGAACCCTGTGCACTGCAGGTGGGAACGCGAACAGCACGGCCCCCAGGGAAAACAGCGCGGCAGTCCCTCAGGAAGGTGAAACCAGAGTCACCACATGACGCAGCAACTCCCTCCCGGGTGCAGACCCGGAGGAGCCGAAGGCAGGGGCTCAAACAGTGTTTGTGCCGCCACGTGCACGGCAGCTTTATGAGCCGCAGACACAAGGCGTGAGCAGTCCAGGAGTCCACTCCAGGACCACCATAAGCAATCCTGGACCACTAACAGATGAATGGATACACAGACGTGTACATACACTGAAGTCTTATTCAGCCTTAGAAAGGAAGGAAGGGCATTCTGACACACCTTACGTATGCGAACACCGAGAGCACTACGCTAAGCGAAGTAAGCCTGTCACAAAAAGGCAACTGCTGTGCGACCCCACTTATGGGAGGCGTGGGGAGTAGTCAGAGCAGAGACAGAGTGCAGTGGCACTGCAGGAGCTGGGGGAGGAGGGGCCGAGGAGGTGCAGGGCACAGAGGGTCGGGTGTGAAGGACGACGAGAACTCTGCAGATGGGCGGTGGTGATGGGTGTCTAACGGAGTGAAGGTACTCAAGGCCACTGAACTGTACGTTTAAAAATGGTGAAGGCGGTAAATTTTATGTTATGCGTATTCTACCATAATTTAAAAATCAACAAAAAGGAAAGAGCATGAGAATATAAGAATGAGCATGGAGCCCTGGCTGGCATAGCTCAGTGGACTGAGCACGGGCTGGGAACCAAAGTGTCCCAGGTTCGATTCCCAGCCAGGGTACATTCCTGGGTTGCAGGCCATAACCCCCAGCAACCGCACATTGATGTTTCTTTCTCTCTCTCCCTCCCTCCCTCCCTCCCTCTCTCTCTCTCTCTCTCTCTCTCTCTCTCTCTCCCTCCCTTCCCTCTCTAAAAAATAAATAAATAAATAAATAAATAATAATAATAAAAAAGAATGAGCATGGAAGAAGCTATTTAGGCAAAAGAACAAGAAGACTAAAAAGAAAAACTCTGGATAATCCCTAAAATACCCCCTCATTCCATTTCAGAGAAACTAAAAACTAGTCAAGGTAGGTTAAGTCAGAGAATAACAAATAATCTTAAATTCTCAGTAATTACAAAACCAAAAGTTACTTCTTACACACTTCCTGCCTCCCTCTGGCCGGCAGAGGCTAAGTGGGGTGTGGTCTTCACGCAGGGGTGCAGATCAGGGTGGCAGAGACCAGGGAACCTAGGGAACGGGGGAGTGGCTCTTCCCTCTGCTCACATTTCATTGGCCAAAGTAACTGCCATGGTCATGCATAACCTTACCGGGAAGGAAAATGCAATTCTATCATGTCCCAAGAAGAGGAGGAGCCAGAAGTCTTAAGGAACAGTAGCTCTAGTATAAACTGTCAGTTATGGCCTGTTAATACGCTAAAGCACAGTATTTTCAGCCTTGAACAGTACAATACTATGTACACAAATCCTGTGCATTACTGTGTACCCAAACTGTATACTATGTACACAAATGAAGTGGGACAAAGAGCTACTTTTAAGTATAGGGGCAAAAACAAATTGTTTTAAGAACAAGATGTGTGCCATCAAACCAAATACTGAGCTCAGAATGCAGACTGCCAGAGGGACAAATTTATGACAGAAAGCACTCAAGGAATGATTATACTGTTCAGGTAACGAGCATAACGCAGGCCAGCTTAACAGGATTCTGTGTAGCAGGATTTTCTATTACACTGAGGCAGCAACTACAGACAAACTAACCTGTTTAACAAGAGAAGAGGCTAGGGAAAAAATCCAAAATGTAAAGGTGGCATATGACAAATTCCCAGACAGATTAATGCAAAAACCCTACTTTTCCTTTCAAGTGGCCAAGCCAAGCAAAGAATTCATAAGGTCAGACCAGCAAGGAGGAACATTCTGGGGCTGTAGGGCACCTTTTACAGTAAGTGCAGTGGCACCAATCTGCTGCAAAGGCCCGTTCAAGCTTGGAATCGCTATCTCTGAATTCAACTTACTAACACTCTCATTCCCATTACGTAGAAAGCATGTGCTTAACATTAAAACCAAACCCACACAAAAGCCCGTACACTTTAACAATTCAAAAATCACAACCACTTACCTCAGAACTTGATAACTCTTTCACTCGGGGAGACTAAAAGAAATACAAAAACAGAGGGCTCGTTAACGCAAAACTCAGGTTACTTGCAGCCAGTTCCACACTGCACGGAATGTGGAAATGCAAGTCAACTCCATTTCACTCTGATCCACACATTAACTCACCGGCAACGCCAGTGAAAGTTCTCTGAAAAAAGAAAACTATCATGAGACAATTGTATTATTTGTCCAGGTGGCCTGTACTTACAGTATTTAGAGACATCACAACTTGAGGTTTATAAGCAAACACAATGAGACAGAATTCTCAGATGATACCTTTTCAAAGTCCAACTCTTTTTACTAATCATGAGAACATTATGTGCACAATGTCCCAGACTAAATGTCAACCTTCAAATTAATTACGTAATACATTCTCAACACAAGTAATTCTGATATTGGGCTTTGTTAACAAAGGGTTTTATTTATTTATTTCGAATGAGAGGGGGGCGACAGAGGGAGGACGGGGAGGGAAACAGTGACTGGGTGCCTCTCCCACGCACCCCAACCAGGGACCAAAGGCAACCCAGGCGTGTGCCCTGACCGGTGATCGAACAGGCGACCTTCTGCTTTGCAGAATGATGCCCAACCAAGTGAGTGCTACCGGTCAGGGCTGACATGGGCTTTAATGGGGAAAACTCTTGAACCGAAGCTGGAAAACCAGTTATAATCTGCCTTATGAAAATCTAAGCTAACTTTATTTAATAAATCAGAAAAGTTAGTAGTAATTCTGACACTACTGGAGAATAAGCTCTAAACAAGTACCAATTTATGGTAAATTCTACCAAGTACGGATTTAGACTACTTAAAAGGTCAGCTTAGGTTTGTTTTTAAATTTTCGCCATTTTATTAAGGAGAATCAAGGGTTAGGTAATAGGTAATATATCACAGTAAATAAATGGCCAACCCAAACCTTTTTTTTTAATTTTATATTTAGCAAAAATGTCAAACTTACAACACCAGCATACCCTTTACCCAGACTGACCCATTAACAGCCTTGATTCCTCATCTGCTTTATTTTTCCAATGCTCATGCTCTGTCATTTAAATATATACATACATAATATACATAATATATAGTATCTATTTAGCATAACATATTTATAAAAATGTAAAATATATATGTAATTAACCATATTGTTCCTGTACCATTTGAGAGTAAGCAGCATGTCATAGCTGTTTACCACTGAATGGTCACTGTGTATTTCTTACTAGGGACATTCTCTTATGTAAGGTTACTGAAGTAACCAACTTCAGTAAATATAACAGTAATACTTTTCATCTTATTTATCGTCCAGAATCCCACTTACAGCCCTCTGTTTTTCCCCCAGTACAGGGTGTCCTGTAGGAGCATGTACCGCAGTTAGCCGTCATGTCTCTTCAGATGCTTTACATCTGGCACATGAATATTCTTTAGAATCCCCTCCCCCTCACACACTGCATCGGAGTGCAATGCCTCTGTCTGCGGTTCGCCTGATGGTCTCCTCCTCATTTAGACTGCTATATGAACGCCCAGCTGGAATTCTACACAGTGAGGTTTCCTTCCTAGAGTATCATATCTTAGGGAATCACGTCTGCCCCTCATTAGTGATCCTAATTTTAATCATCTACTCAGGGCATTTTCTGGTTTCCCCAGTATACAGAAACTATTTTGTCCCTTGCAACTAAAAGCCACTCTGTGGAGAGACACTTTAAAACCATGCAAATGTACTGCTCCTCACAACTTTCCCCTATATTTAGCATCTGCTGATGCTCCTTGCCTGATCTAATCTTTTATGATTGCTTTATGATGGATGCAAAATGATCATTTTCCTTCTTCAACACTCCTCAACATTTACCAGTCAGTACTGGCCATTCACGATCACGAAAAAGCATCCCTTTCTCCCATGTATTGTTATGAACTCAGAGATTCCAATTTTTCATATTAGTTATAATTTATTACTGCATTTAATGATTTTGATGGTTAAATTCTTGCTAATTTGGCCACTGGGAGCCCTGTTACCAGGGCTCTTATGTTATTAAACTTTTTGTTTCAATAGCAGGTATCTTCTTTTTGACAAAAGAAGGTATCCCAGATTCACCTTGTGCATTATCTGTGCGAGCCTGGGCACCAGCCATTCCTCCACAAAGCTTTCATTCTCGAAAGCAGACAGAGCTGTCACTACCCGCCATCCACCCCACACAGGGCTCTGAGTGGTAGAGACTGCAATGACCTCAGACGTCATGTCCCCTACACACTTTGGAGACTCCAGGAACATGGTCAGTAAGCTGTTTAATGTTTGCATTAGCTCACTGATTCTCTTTTCATCATTTAAAAACTCTTTTTTTCTCAGTTTCATTTTGCAATTCCTATTGCTGGCCTTCAAGTTCCTTAATCTTTTCTTTTACAGTGTCTAATTTGCTGCTAATCCAATCCGATTTATTTTCCATCTCAGGCATTGCAATATTCTGTAAATCTGATTTCCTGTGTGTCTGTCTTCTATTCTTGGGACTGAGTCCTAACAATCAACCTGAGGCACTGACTTTGGGCAAGAGTGATGAAACAATCAAAAAGTAAGACCCCTGTCTTCACTGCTTCTAGCAAGAACCAACACATACATCATCGGCAGCATCATCATCATTCAGTATACACCAATTAAAGAGATACACTCTTACTCTTCAGGTAGAAGACTAGCAGACCTCAGGAACAAAGTTCTATTATTGTTAGTCTTTCAAGTTCACTAATCTTTTCTTTGCAATGCATAATCAGGCATTAAACCTACCCAGTGTATTACCTCAGACATTGTGGTGCTCATCTCTAGACTGCATCATTTGTACATTCCCTAGATACTATCATATTCAAACAGACCTGCCAGCCCACTTTTCCATGTAAAATCAATTGGGCTCCTATGCTGGTAAGTTGGTCAAGGAAACTCTGTCATTAACACTTGCACTTTTTTGTATTTTGGCTGGGTAGGCTGACCAGAATCACAGAACACGGTATTATCTCAGAGGCTTCAGGCAAAAAGGCAGAGCTCTAGCTAAAGCACACAGTGTCACAAAACTTACCCTGAGCTGTGAGATTGCTGCTTTCCCTTCCTCACTCTCTTCGTCAAACTCATCATCGCTCCACTCCCAGCCACCGTCCTCTGTCTTATGAAGACGGCCACTGGAGCCTGGCACTCTCCGAACCTGCTCGCGGGGAGAGACACGCAAACCATGACCATGTTGACATTTACTATATGGAAAAGTCAATCATATTTTCCTCTCCTTCTATGACTGCAACGCAGTAAGCATATAATAATTTTCCCTGTAAGTCTCCTCCACCCCTCACTGGCTCTGTTCACAATCTTTAGTCTTTCTTTACTCACAACCACTGACTTTCCCTGTATTTCCATACTCTGAACTTGAACACCAGCCAAGTCCTCCTTATGTGAAGTCACAGGTCAAATGAATATTCTGCTTTTTCTTTTTAATTTTAAGTTTAAAAGTCACAATTATACCTGCCCGGTTTTAAGAGTAGTACAGCTGTGAAAGTTTGTTCAGAAAAACAACAATTTCCTGCCTTTCATGCTTTCTACCACAAGCAACCATTTTCAATTCATTTTAACTTATTGTTTTAGAATTTATATTTCTCTCTATATATAACGTGGCCTCATTATTACCCTTTGAGGTTTCTGGTTTTAGGAATTACTTACTGAACTTCCCACTATGGAAAACGAGAATTTAACCCTGTTATCAACCCTCTACTCTTTTCTTAAGATACACTGTAATTTGGGTTAAATCAATATTCCGTGTTTACATAACCTGATTACAAGTATATAGCTGATACAGCTAAGCCTTACTGTACCTTAGAGTTACCTTCCTTTGCTACGTTATTGTTTTCCCTGGAGTTAATATTTGCTTATTTCTATGTGCTTGTCAATATTTACCCCCCAATTCTCTCCCAGCTATGTACATCTTCTCTTAGCACAGTGATATGCACCAGGCATTCTGCGTCAGCATTACCTTCCCAGGAGCCTCCCACCAGAGCCTGGTCTCTCCGCTCCCCCTAGGAAGGTATCGCACCAGGTCTGCTGCTTCAGATCTAGCCAGAGGTCCGTGCTTCCTGCATCCCGTAACTTCCCTGTTCTCAGTTTGAGCACTTCCTCCACTACTAGCGTCACTTACAAAAACCATGCATTTCTGAACATATCTTTATTCCATCTCCACATTTCACTTATAGTTTGTCTGGTAAAAATACGTCTGGGTCAGAAACCCTTTTCTTTGATAATGTTGAACACAGCTGCTCCATTGTGGTCTGGTTTCCAGAGGTGCTGCTGAGGGAGGTCCTTCCGACTGGTGAACCTGTCTGTGGCCACGCCCCCTATTATCTTTTTCCCTCCAGAGTTTGGAGTGAGCACAGCAGGGGCCTCAGTGCTGGTCTATTTTCATGCATTGTGCTGGTACTTCGGCTCTTTCGGTCTGGAAATTCATGACCATTCGTTTACAATTTTTTTTCAGACAGAATTACTTCAAGAAGACTTCCTTTCTCTTGGGTTTTTGTTTGGTTGTTTTTTTGTTGTTCTCCTTTTCCAGAACTCTTTTTATTCATCTGTTGAACCATTCTGAATGATCCTCTAATGTTCTTGTCTTTTTTTCTCCTGTTATCACTGCTTGGCCTCTTGGCTCTGTTTTCTGAGAAATTTCCTTAACTCGACTCTACAGCTTTGCCCTGAATTTTTTCATTTCTGCTACGATGTTTCAGTTTCCATGAGCTCATGTGTCAGGGTGCTGCCATTCTCTAAATGCTTCTTTTAAACTAACAGCTTTACTGAGATATAATTCATGTAGCATATAAGTAACCCATCTAAAGTATACAATTCAATGATTCTTAGTTTATTCAGAGTTGTGAAACCATCTCCACAATCAAGTTTAGATTACTCTCATCACTCCCTCCCCACCCCACACCCCACCCCAGCCCTGCAAAAACCCACAGCCATTACCAACTAACTGCTCATTTATCTACAGTCCTTCCAGGCCTTCGCAGCTGCTCATCTACTTTGCCTCTACATATTTCCTAGTCTGAGCATTTCACGTCAATGGAGTCAAAGAACGTGTTATCTTTTGTAACTGGCTTCTTTCAATTGCCATAATGTTTGAAAGGCACATATCTGTTATGGCATGTATCAGTACTTCACTCTTTATTGCGAAATAATATTCTCTTGTACAGACACACGACATCTTACGTGTCCATTCATCAGCAGATGGACATTCAGGTTATTTGCACTTTTTAGTTTACGAATAATGCTGCTACGAACATACGTGTACATACTGTTGTGTGTACATGTTTTCAATTCTCCTGCGTTATGCCGAGAAGCGGAACTGCAGGGCATATGGCAACCTTATTTAGACTTTTGAGGAACTGCCAAACTCCTTTCTAAAGTGGTTGCGCCATTTTACGTTTATTTCTATTGATGTGTGAGGGTTCCGATTTCTCCACGTGTTTATCAGTACTTGTCTGTCTTGTTCAGTGCACTCACTCCAATGGGTGTGGTGGGAGGAAAGGGCCCGACCTCACAACTCACTCGGGAGCTGCACAGAGTGACTGAACACAGGTTACAATGAATTCATCAAGTGTCTAACACACTCTTCCTTCTAGTAGACAGCGAAGGAATACTGAGACATTTGGTACTCCAGTGAATACTGGACAAACAAATGCATCAAAGAATGTGGAAGGGCTGGAAGAAACTCATACTGCAATACTCACACTGTTAAGGAAGTATTACTTAACACGTACTTTCCAAATGCAGAAGTAAACCTGCTCTAGGCAATTTCCCAGGAAAATGGAGTTAAATACCCATTTACCTTTTTAGCTCTTTCAAAAATGGTTGGTGCTCTCTGCAATATTTTTTCTTGAAGAAATTCTTTATTCTGGAGAGGAAAAATAAAAATTTTCTTCTTACAAGATTTCATGGAACAAAAAAAATGGACAAAGAAACATTCACCAAAATTAAAATGTGACAAAGTAAATGTTTTATAAAGAAGTTCGAGAAAAGGTTCCATTCTTCCATTCTGAAGCTCCTTTAGGACACTGCTACCACGGGCTTACAAACTGAAACAGAGCTTTAGTGCACCGTCATGAGCCATTTCTATGTAAAGTCTGCTTTCTACCATATGTCCTTTGGGATCATGGTCCCAGACTTCCACCTACAGTAACATCCACTTATCTAACTCCTTGGTAAACGAGATGTTTACTAACTTACCTGAAACCAGAGCTCAGTATTTTTCACAGATTATAATTATAATAGCAAAATTTAATATTCATTGTTCTAAGTTTACCCTACTGGCATTTAAACATAAATTTACATATTATAAAGCATGCATCTTAATTACCAAAGACTATATAGCTCATGCAATTATTTGATCTATTATCGTTCTTCTAAACATAATCATCTTAAGAAAATAAAACTTCTGAACAGTAAACATAATTTAGTAACAAAATTAGGAAGATCAAATGAACATATAAAATCAAAAGTTAGAATTCCCACGCTGGCCAATACAACTCAGTGTACTGAGTGGATTTGGGTCGCCAGTTCAACTCCTGGTCAGGCCACACACCTGGGCTGCAGACCAGTTCCCAGCTGGGAGCTTGTAAAAGGCAACCCACAGATGTTTCTCTCCCTCTCTTTCTCCCTCCCTTCCATTCTCTCTAAAGAATAAATATATAAAATATTTTTTAAAAAGTTAGAATTTCCTACCTTTGCCTTTTGGAAAAACTTGTGCCTCAACAATTCTGCTGCTGTTGGTCTAAAACCAGAAAAGAAAGTTTTTACAGTTATTTCAAGTGTGATGTGGGGTTTTAATCTTCAAAAATAAGAAAATGGTTTCTTAAGCAGTAAGAAAAAAACTCAGTGTACTCCACTTTCCCTAACTTGCTAAAAAAAAATAGCATAAACTTGGTACAAGACGTTGTATAGAATAAGAACTCATAGAAATATTCTGATAATAACTATTACAGGTCTTTGACAAAATCATTAGTGAAATGTTTCTTTTGGAAGCATGATTCCTTAGTGGCTTCCAATATATTTGCTATTTAATATTATTCCCCCAGAAGTAGGTTAGATAATGTTTACTTTAACAAGGCCTAAACATACATCGAATCTCACAAAGTCCTCTGTTTCTATGTGGCTACCTGCTAGCCGTCAACACAGGCAACACACCGTTTTAAAAACAGATTTCACCATTTCTCCGAACTGAGGATTCTAAATGTAATGGATATTCCCCAAATTTAATCTAAACTCAATTTTAACTCAATTGTGCACAGTCTTACTTCCTTCATTTAAAGACATTATTATCAATTTTACAGTTTTTTAATGAGTATGACAGAATAAAGAATAAACAGTACTATACATAAGAGTTGGACCTGGCTAGGTAGTAATTTTGCTTTCTAATCCTGTGGTTTCCTGCATGACGTGGTTACTATAAATTCAGACTGAACACCTGAAGAACATCCAGGTCAGAGGGCCTGATTATTCAGGAGAGATTTCTGTTGTATCTTTATGATAATGGGCAGGTTTTGTTTGTTTTCTGGTCTATCCTTTCACTCAAGACACAGGCTCAGTTTAAAATCCCGACTGGGCTAACCCATTACCTCATATCCAGTCCCCACGGGGAAGTGGGAATGAACAGTGTCCCACTGTGGACAGCCACAGAATTAGTCCGTGATCTTTCTTCTCTAATTTATGGTTTCCTTATTACTTTGGACATCTGAGGACCTCCCTTTATAGAAAGCTCTTGTCTAGATTTTTTTTTTAATTTGACAGATTTATCCAGAATTTCTGGGTATTTATAAGAAGAGAATTCTGTTATTTCAGTCAACTAAGTTGGCAGAAGCCAAGGAGTCCCTATCTTTTATACCAGTTTATTGAGAAACAGAAAACAAGTCCTAAAAACACAGGTTTGAACTTTGCTCCCTCTATTTCTTACCCTTTCCAATATTTCCAACAATAAATTCTGAAGACCCATGAAATACACTAAAGTCATTTATTTTGTTGATCATGAGAGAAAGCAAAATTAAAGAACTCTTAGTGCTAAGAAACTGAGTGGAACATATATATGCGAAGCAGAAGAAGATACAGGGGGAGCAGAGTCCAAGAATCAGGAGTTTTGGAGTCAAGTCCCACCTCTGTGACCAGGTAGCTGTTTGACCTCAAAAACAAAAGGTGGTACTCAAGGATCTTCAAGATTCTACAGTTCCGTTTAATTCACAAATATAGACACATCAGATGACCACATTTACTTATCTGCTTGTCATCCAATCTGTCTAGTGTTATCAAGATAAGCTCTTTGAAGTTTTGGTCCATCCACTTATTAAAACATCTCTCCAATAAGGAAAGATTATTTGACATATATTTACTATGTATATTTCTTTTCTTATTAACATTATAGACAGCATTATTTACAACTCTTAAATGCAAATTCAAAGTGACCCCTCCCACTAACTTAATGTTTTATTAATAGAGAATTCACAATGTACAAGTATGTAATTGTAAAAAATTACCAGGAAATAGCAGAACTAATTAGGGTACACTGTATACTAAAAAGTAGAAAGTAATTTATTCATTTCCAATCTAAGGTAATGGTCTCTGTATATTTTTTATAGTATATATTTATTTCTTTGTATACATCCTGTGCCTGTATGTACTACATGACTCTAGTTATATATTAGATGAAGAGAAAAGTACGCTTTATCCCATATTTAACCTTTTTTCTGGATCCTTTTGAAGGCACAACGAAATCATTTTTCTAAATGATTTTCCATATTTTTTCAGCATCTCTTTATCTTGAACACCAGTTTCCAAAGAAGGTGGGTCATTCTGCAGTGTCAGCATCAAAACCTGTAAGATTTTCAATATAATAAAAATTTCTGACGACTCAATTAAATATTGTGGCCAAGATGTTTTTACATAAACAGTCCCCAACATACAAGAAGATTTTATTGTCTAAAAGTTCACACCTAGACCAGCTGTCCGGAGCCCAGAGTCACCCACACAAACAATACGCTACCGAGAGTTGACTTCCCGGATGGCGAGCCTGCCAGGGCCCAACCACATCCACACAGTGCATCCTTCGGTTGGAATCCTTGCCTCACCTTTTCGGTCCCCACTCCTATGCTACCAAACTATCTTTAAAAAATTAAAACCACAGCAAAATTCAGAGTGTAAACTTGCCGACTTTACCTACCCATGGCTCTCTTTCAACCTGACACCTTGTAATCCGGCCTTCTTTCCATAGAACTCAGAAACTTCTACCACAGGAATAACTGGTGATACTGGCTCACAGGAATAACTAGTCAACAAAGCTAGAGCCTTGCTAGTTCTCATTCTTCCCACCCTCCCCGTAGCAACTGACGGTCTTCACTGTTCTGTCCACCTCTTCCTCCTTCGACTTCCAGGGCCACAGGCTAGCTAGACGCACAGAGGTGGAGGTAACGAAGGTGCTGTTTGTGTGTTAGGACTGGGGGATTTGCGTTTTCCTATACTGTTGGATGTTTTTATAAAAGCATCAGCCATTCTCCCAAACATAAAGTCAAAAGTGAAAAATAAAAGGGGGTTACAATTAGAACTATTACTTGCTTTTCAGATTTATATTTACTGAAACAAAATTACTAAGGTTGGTGATTGTTCTTATTTTGAGCAACTAGGTTAACATGTATGTGTCTGGCAATAACTGGAGGAGTCAATGCCTACAATGGATTAAAAGTAAACCTCATCTTCCCCTTGCCAACTTTAAAAATAAGCCATTTCTTTGGCCTTACAGTTATGTTAAAAAAAAATCCTTCCTAAATTTTTGTGAATATCCACTTTCTCCTAGGAGTCCTTAATCTTTAGGAAAATTGTGGCCTTAAGACATCACTAATCTTTCACAGAATCAAAATTTCACCCATCAAACATATATCTCTGTCTGTGTGTGCGCATGTATATATGTATATACATGTTTTGAACAGGAGAGTTAAGAGACTTTTTCATAATACACCTTTATTGGTTTTGTTCCTCTTCCACACTGTTAGAGCCTTAAAGGTCCCCAAGCGCACCACGATCACACAGATGTGAACAATATCAACATGACAACAATTCACAATGGTGATGTGCCATTTTACATAGTCCCAGGATATCAGAACTTCCGGTCAAGATGGAGGCGCAGGTAAACGTGGCTCACCTCCTCACACAACCAAAGCAAAACCACAGCTAAACTACAGAACAAATATCACTCAGAACTGTCAGAAAATCAAAGTGTATGAAAGTCTGAAAACTAAGGAATTAAAGAGGCCACATTCATCCAGATAGGTAGCAGGAGTGAAGGGGCAGAGATATGGAACGGGCTAGTCCCAAATCCACGAGTGGTGGATATAAAACGAAGGGTATCTCGGGAGCAAGGGATCCCAGCCCCACACCAGACCACCCAGCCCGGGGTTCCAGTGCCAGGAAGGTAAGTCCCCGTAACTTCTGGCTGTAAAAACCAGTGGGTGATGGGTTGGCAGAAGAAACCATGGGATTCCCAGGCATCTCCTTTCGGGTGGCCCCGCACGTGGACTTACTCAGACTCACTCCCTCTTGGCTCCAGCACTAGGGCAGCACCCAGAGGAGCATCAGCGGCATACAGGCAGGGACTAAAGTGTCTGGCATCAGGGCAAGAGCTGAGGACAGCTGCCTCCCAGACAGAACTGCAGACAGCAGCATTGTTCCTTTTCTGAGCCCTTTCCCCTCACAGAGCCACAGTGAAGCGGCACCATGTGAGTCTCCATCAACCCGGCTCACACGTGCCCTGACAATTACCTAAGGCTCTGCCCCATCCAACTTACAGACCCACCTATGCTGGTAACAGTGCCTTTCCACATGAACGGCTAAGCTAGGCGCAGGCTTCAGACCTTCCTAAATCTGCCCAAACAAGCAACGACTGAGCCCAGCCCCAAACCTCTCACTGAGTGGCCCCAGGCCCAGCACTAGCAGCAGTCATCTGTAGATGGCTTTACAGCTTATGCCAAGGGGCCCCAGACAGAACACAGGTGGTGGCTGACCTTGACCTACACCACCAGGGAAATGCCAGAGCCTGTGTGCCTGGCAGACAGTTACAGACCACATCAGAGCACCATCATCCAACTATCTCCATAAGCCACAGAGGGGGGTGGTTACTAGCCAGTGGTCACAGCCAGTCCCACCAGCTGTCTGGCCTGGGTAAATCCCTCCCACTGACCTGCTGACAGCAATCAAGACTCAACTACAAGAGGAGGGACTCAGTGCACATGGAGGGCATGCCTGCAGTACCCAGCTTGGGTGATAGGGGAGGCTGTGCCACTGGGCCCTACAGGACACCTACTACATTAGGCCACGCTACCAAGACAGAGTCAAAGCAGCTCTACGTAATACACAGAAACAAACACGAGGAGGCTCCAAAAATGAAAAAACAAAGAAATATGGCCCAAATAAGAGAACAGATTAAAACTCCAGTAAAAGAATTAAACAAAAAAGAGGTAAGCAAGCTATCAGATACAGAGTTCAAAAAACTGGTTATAAGGATGCTCAAGAAACTCAGCAGGCACTTCGACAGAATAAAAATGATCCAATCAGAAATGAGGGAGACCCTAATTGAAGTAAAGAACAATTTATGGGATATCAACAGTGGAGTGGTAAAGCCGAGAATCAAATCAATGGCTTGGAACATAAGGGAGTGAAAGATAGCCAATCAGTAGTCAGAAGAAAAGAAAATCCCAGAAGAATCAAGGATAGTGTAAGGAGCCTCTGGGACAACTTAAAGCTTCCCAACATTCACATCATAGGGGTGCCAGAAGGAGAAAAGAAAGAAATTAAGGAGTTCCCACAAGACTGTTAGCTGATTTCTCAAAAGAAACTTGGCAGGCAAGAAGGGACTGGTAAGAGGTATTCAAAGTGATGACCTACAAGGACCTAAAACCTAGATTACTCTATCCAGCAAAGCTATCAGTTAGAATTGATGGGCAGATAAAGTGCTTCCAGACAAGGTAAAGCTACAGGAGTTCATCACCACTAAATCACTATTATATTATACGAAATGTAAAAAGGACTTAATTACGAAAAAGAAGATAAAAACTATGAACATTAAAATGGCAATAAACACATAACTATCAACAACTGAGTCTTTAAAAAACAAACTAAGCAAACAAGCAGAACAGAAACAGAATCACAGATACGGAGACCACTGGGCTGCTGGCCAGCGGGGAGGGGCTCTGGAGGAAGGAGGGGAAAGCTGCAGGGATTAAGAAGTACAAATTGGTAGTTACAGAATAGGCAGGGGGATGTTAGGAGCAGTATAGGAAATGGAGTTGCCAAAAAACTTATATGCATGATCCACGGAAATGAACAAAGGAGGAGGCACTGTCGGATGGAGTGGGGGCTGCTGGGTGGAGAGGGGTAAGGGGGGAAAATTGGGCCAACTGTAATAGGATAATCAATAAAATAATAAATAAGCAGTCACAGGATATCTTGGTAAAGTGGGCAAAAAGAACTATGAACAACAGCTACGACTACAAAGAGAACAGAATTCATGAGCGTACTGTAACTAAGGAGTGCTACAAATGAAAAGGGTTACCGACAGTTCTGGCAGCATCATCTCAAACACAAAACCTCATCCTGTTCCTAATGCTGGGGACAGGATTAGCAACTACATCTCAGGTAACTGCCATATCAGGAACTAATATTAGGTCTTTTAAAACCTTTGCTTAGTGTCCTATCACAAAGCAAACTTTTATTTGAACTTTTATTAATAAAATGAGCATAATACATACATATGACACATGAACACTTTGCACAGATCATCTTATATTAGACATGAAAAGCACCTAAAACAGCGCCTGGAAAAATAAACGCTCAGTGAACGTCAGCTATAATACTATTAATACACAACCCTTCCAACAAGCTTACGAAGTGGAAACGATCATCATCCCCGTTAAGGGTGACTGTAAGGAACACACACTAAAACGAGAGACGTCAGGTCCTAATATCAGACTAGTCAGAGTCAGGGGGTGGACAGTCATCCCGTGAGAAGGTCAACTCCAAGGTGCAGCAGGCCTTCAGTACCGACCACCAAACCTCTAACCCAGACGTTAACCGCTGCAGGAGTTAGAAAGAAGGCAGGGCAGAACTACATGAGCAAAAATGTCAAATAAAGAAAGCAAACCATTGTTTAAAAAGCCTAGCTAGCTATATGCCAGTACACCAATTTGCTTTATTAAATTATAGCTAAAAGTAAGAACTAGAAAAAACTAAAACAAAACCAAAAAAAAACAAACACGCTTTGAAACAGAGCCGACATATGAGCGGGCTGGTATTCTGAACAGGAGCCTCACCTTCATTGGCGGATACTTATGATAAGGAGCTGCCCCTGTGGCCAGCTCAATCGCTGTGATTCCGAAACTCCAGATATCAGCTTTGAAATCATAACCTCGAACCTGTAAAGAACAGAGAAACGTACACAATTAATTTAACTACCCTGAAAGCACTTTTAAAAAGTAGCTCCTAATACGTATCAAGAAACATGACAGTGTTCATCAACTTTAAACCAATAAAATAATCTAGAGTAGGCAAAAGCTAAATATACTTGAGAACAGGGGAAAACAAGCCGCCTCAATGAACATTTACCAAAAATGGGGAAATTGTTACGTATGCATATTCATTTCAAGAAATATTATACAGGTAACCGAAAGCAAGGTTAATGAATTCCACATGAAAATACGAAAAACAACCTGTGATAAAACATGAAGAAAAAAATACAAAATTTATCATAAGTTTTGATACTATTATTACAAGCAGGTATTATAAGCCGTCTATTAAAAAATTAATTAGAATTAAATGTTAGGCAATGTGCCCTGGCTGGTGTAGCTCAGCGGACTGAGCATGGGCTGTGAACCAAAGGGTCTTCGGTTCGATTTCCAGTCAGGGCACATGTCTGGGTTGCGGGCCAGGTCCCCAGTAGGGGGCACACAAGAGGCAACCACACATTGTTGTCTCTCTCCCTTTCTCCTTCTTTTCTCGCCTCTCTAAAAATGAATAAATAAAATCTAAAAAAAAAAAACCCAGAAATGTTAGGCAATGTTAGGTGGTGAGTCATTTGTTTTCAAAATTTCTTATGGTATTGTTTTATCATCCTAATTTTTATAATGAAAAAAGTTACAAAGGGTGTGAATATTGTTGAAGTTGTTCATGTGAATATATTGCCAAATTCCTCTCATACCTCCACCAGCACATTACATAACTATGTCTTAACTGTCTATCCTAAGCAATACATGTGGAGGAGAAACAGGTTTTGGGAATGAAGAGAGACCTGAAATCAAAGCTCCACATTTTAGCTGTCTTGACGTTTGGTAAAAAAGAGGGTCTCTAATGACCTCCGCTCAAAGTCCCCTCCCTTCTCTGCCCTGAGGACGCTGTTCCCCAGCCCAACAGCCCTGCTCATTCCTGAGTAGGCTTCCACTCCTTGCCAGCACTTGGAAGTCTTCAAACAAGCCAGTCCCATGTCCACAAAGAAACCACGGCGCACCTCACTCTCCTGATACCATAGAGCCTTGTCTCCCACAGACGCTGTTTGTCCATTATCTTCCCGAACTGGACCTGTGCAGCGCGCAGCGTCCTCCCCCCGCGCTCTGTGGATGGACACGCAACTAGCAAACTGCCATCAGTCTCATCAGTCCAGTGTCAGATACTGTGTGTTCAACCATTCACGGAGCCCTAGGGTGGGGATCCTTCCCTCAGCAACAGGGGGGCACAGGCATTATAACAGAGTGAGCAGTGAATGCAGTTCTACACACTGAGTTTGATTTACCAGTAAAACATTTCTGCAAAACCCGTCGTAGAGGGAGTTGGAAACATCTACCTAGAGGCTTAGGAAACAAGACTGGATTGGAGATAATGTATAACTAGTAAGTGGGCAGTAAGGAGAATATCCAGTGAGCATATCAGAGAAGACGGAGTCCAGGAACTCGGTGCTGGGGAGCGGGGTCATCCAGCAGCAGGAGGAAAGCCAAAAAGCAGTCAGAGAACTGGCCCGACAAACAGAAAAGAACAAGAACACCACACTAGGGAAGCTACGGAAGTGAAAGGTGGGCGTGGCCCAGAGTGTCAAATGCCACAAAGAGAATGGGACAAGGAACCAGAAATGAGAAGAGGTTTTGAGATTTAGTGGTTTCCGTGGTGACGGGATGAGTGACATCAGGGTGCAGTTGTTCGGGAGTGAGTGAAGAACCGGACACGGAGAAAACCAGTCCCTCAAGAACCCAGCAACAAAGCTCCATGTAAAAAGATTAGGTCGTTTACTTTGTACTAAGGGAAGTATTACGAAACCAATCTTCATTATGTTATTCTTTAGGCTATCTTTGGTATGTATACGCATAAATCCTGAGTTTCATATGCCCTTTGTAAAGTTCCAGTTTCTTTTTAAAGGGAGGATGAAAGTCTTAACCAAGAAACGGAAGAGTGTGTTTCCCAAAGCTGACCTAGTGTACCAAACAAAGGCAAACACCATTCGGTGTTTTTCTATTTCACAGCAGAACCCTAAGCCATGTGAAAAAGACACAGTACCTGTTCCATAACTTCAGGCGCCATCCAGCAAGGGGTTCCAACAAAAGTCTTTCTCACTTTATTTCGGGTAATATCACCACCAGTTGCTAAAAAAGCACTAACACCGAAGTCTGAAACGGAATGAGACAGCAAGGTATCAGAAGTACAGTACACAACATAAATGAACAGGGAAACACGATGTAGTTATAGTTCTACATACAAACAGCACAACCTCCTCCTTCTGCTGGACTTTTCCTTTGTGTGTGAGAACAAAGTGAGTTTTATTCAGATAGAGAAAAAGGAGGCGGCCAGGGCACAGGTGCTGCTGTGCAAGAAGCAAGAGCACGCGTTCCAGGGGACCCGGGCGGACTCAGAGAGTGGGCTGCGCCTCTGCTTCACTTCTCGGCTAACACAAAACACACCCTCACAGGGCAGGTCCTGCACCCGTTCCTCCCCACCCCAACACAGCAGCGCGCAACCTCGGGTTTTCCCCCTTGCTCCTCTCCACTCTTCTCATCTCATCTTCCCAAAGGAAACTCCACACCCATTAAACAGGAATTCCCCGCTGCCCCCTTGCCCCAGCCCTGGCAACCAGCGTTCTACTTTGTCTCTCTGAATTTGGCTACTCTAAGTACTTCGTGTACGTGGAATCAGGCAGGGTTTGTCTGTTTACAGCTGGCTTATTTCACGTAGCATGACATCCTCAAGGTTCATCCATGTTGTTGCATGTCAGAATCTCCTTCCTTTATAAATTGAATAATATTCCGTTGTATGTACGTGCCACAGTTTGTGTACTGATTCATCCACTGATGAACAACTGGTTGGCTCCCATGACTTAGCCACGGTAAATAATGCCTTTATAAAAATGGGTGTTACAAATACCTGTTTGGGTCCCTGCTTTCAGTTCTTTGGGGTTACATGCCCAGAAGTGGAACTGCTGGATCGCACAGTATTTTCCGTGTTGGAGGGACTGCCACACGGGTTTCCACAGCAGCTGTACCATTTTACCACTAACAGTGCGCAAGGGTTCCAATTTCTCCACATCCGTGTTATTTTCTGTCCGATTGTTTTATAGTAGCAATCCTGCTGGGTGTGAGGTGGTATAGCCTTGTAGTTTTAATTAGCATTTCCCTGATGATTAGTGATGTTGAGCAGCTTTTCATGTGCCTACAGGGCCTTTGAATATCTTCTTTAGAGAAGTGTCTATTCAAGCCCATTTTTAAAGACCTTGTCTTCTGTTGTTAAGTTATAGGAGTTCTCTGTATTCTAGACATTAGTCCATTATCAAGTATATCACTTGCAAATATTTTCTCCCACTTCATGGGTTGCCTTTTTACTCTGTTGGTAGACTCTTAGGCATAAAAATTTTTAATTTTCATAAAGGTCAATTTATCTTCTTTTTCTTCTGTCAAGCTGTGCCTTTGGCACACTAAGAAATCACTGCCAAACCCAATTACACAGAACTCTGCCCTAGGTTTTCTTTGAGGAATTTCATTGCTTTAGGCCTCACATTTAGAACTTTGATCCACTTTGAGTTAATTTTTGTGTGCGGTGTTAGATAACAGTCCAACCTCATTTTTTTCCATGGGACTGTGCAGTCTTCTTGGCGCCCTTCGCCCTTTCCCCCGTGGAACGGCCCTGGCACACCTGTCCGGACCATCTCACCATCCGCAGGATGCAGCAGGAGCAGATTTACATTTGTGAACTCATGAACTGGAATCTATTCTTGTATGGTGATTTATTAATTACTGCACTATTTTCCATATGAACGACTTGTAAACCTACTTTGGCCACACCTCGATTGTGAGGGTTGATTTCTGGGCTCTCTTTTCTATTTCCTTGGTCTGTCTCTACGCCTGTAACATACTGTTTCTATTACTGTTGCTTAGCAGTAAGTTTTGAAAACAGGAAATGTCAATCTTCCAGCTTTGTTCATTCTTTTTCAAGATTGCTTTGACTATCTGCGGTTACTTGGGATTCCATATGAATTTTACAATGGGTTTTTCTGTTTCTGCCAAAAAGAGAAATCACTGGGATTTTGAGAGTGACTGCACTGAATCTGTCAACGATTTGGGGTAGCATTGACATTTTCACAATACAGGTGTCACCTGCTTTCTAGTTTGCTCTTTTACAAAAGACCAACATGTGTACCTGTTTTCAGTAACCAAAAGAACCTCAAAGAGGATTTTCACTAAAAAAAAAAAAAAAAAAGGCATGACTGTACCAATGTAGGTTTTTTGTGAAAGCAAGTGCCTTCAAATGAATTCTAGAAAAAGACAGCACATACTTGGACTACGTGTTTTTTATCCACTCTGCCAATCTGTCTTTTGTCAGAGAGTTAATCCATTTACAGTTAAAGGGATTAGTGATAAGAAGGGACTTCTGCTGGTGTTATTTCTTTTCTTTATGTCCTAAAGTTTTGTCCCTTATTTCCTGCACTAGCTCTTTTGTGCTTAGTTGTGCTTCTTTTTGTTGTTGTGAAAGCTTAATTTCTCTCTCTCTCTCTCTTGGTCTTTATTCTATAGCTATTTTCTTTGTGGCTACCACAGGAATTCTAAAACACTCTAATTTGAATTTATACCAGAGTTTACCTTCAATACACACAAGAACTCTTCTCCTTTACAGCCCTGTTCCCACCCTTTTTGGCTGTTGCCATCACAAAATTACATCTTAATATACTGTGTGTTCAAAAACATCAAAAATTCTTTTAAATGTATTAGTCTCTTAAATTACGTAGAAAATAAGATGAGTTACAAACTAATGTTACAGACCGATAATTGTTTTTAGTAGTGCACTAGTCTGTTCAATCATATAGAAAACAAAAAGTAGAGCTACAAATCATTGTCACAATGATACTTACAATTGTAGCTTTTACACTTGCCCACGTATTTCCCTTTATTGAGACCTGTATTCCTCCATACTGCTGGAGTTACTGTCTGGCGTCTTTTCGTTTCATTCTGCAGGATCCCTTTGAGCGTTTTGGCAGAGCAGGCCTAGTGGAAATATATTCCCTCAGCTTTGACTTATCTGAGAATGTCTTAATTTATTCCTCACTTTTCACAGAGTTTTACCAGATACAGGAGTCCTGGGTAACAATTTTTTTTTCTTTTAGCACTTGAATGTATTGGCCCACTGCCTTCTGGCCTCCAAAGTTTTAGATGAGAAATCTGCTGCCAAGCTTACTCAGCAACCCTTGTGACGATTCATTTCTCTCTCGCTGCTCTCAAGATTCTTGTCCCCGGTTTTTGTAAGTTTGATTATCATGTGTCTTTGTGTGTCTCTCAGGGTTTTGTTTTGTTTTTTAACTTGGAGATCGCTGAGCTTCTTAGATGCTTATATTCATGTCTTTCATCAAATTTGGGGAGTTGTCAGCCATTATTTCGTCAAACAACTCTCTGTACACCTGTCTCTCTTCTCCTGCGGGGCTTCCCACAGTGCGCACGTTGGCCCACTTACTGGTGTCCAACTAGCCCCTCGGGCTCTGTTCACTTTTCCTCACCCCTTTTCCTTCCTATTCATCAGACTGCTAATATCCGCTTCCCTGTCTTCAGGCTCACCAATTCTTTCTTCTGCCAATTCGAATATGCACGTGAATCTTCCAGTGAGTTTTTCATTTTGCAGTGCTAGTTACTGTACTTTTTTAGCTCCATAATTTCTTTTGGTTTCCTTTAGGTTTTCTCTGTGTGGTAATAGTTCCATTCTGCTCACACATCATCTCCACTGGTTTCTGTGCATCATCCTTTACTTGTCTGAGCCTCTTTAAGATGACTGTTTTAAAATCTTTGTCTAGTAGCTCTGCCATCAGGTCTTTTTCACTGACAGTTTCTGTTACTTCATGTCTTTCCCCTGATAAGTTTCACTGAAAGCCTTGTGATTTTTCTGTTGAAAACTGGAGATTCGAATCTAAAAATATGGCAACTGTGAAGATCAGATTCTATCTCCTTTCCAGGGTTTGCTGTTTTTGTTAATATTTGGGTTTTTTTTTGGGGGGGGGTGGGAGTTGTTGTAGACTCTGTGTCAAACATCACCCTGAAGTGTAGACCCAAGTTCTCAGATCTTTTCTGCATTTTTTTCCTTGGCATTTACTGTTACCCTCCAATTTTTCCTGAAAATGTAGTTGTTTCTTAATGTCCTAATCTTTAATGTCTGCCTTCTAAAGGGGAAAGAACAGAAAAATGAATGGAAGGAAAAAAGGTACTAGCTTGTTAGGTCCCCTGGAAGTCACCTGTGGGGCGAGGGGTGCAACCATAATGGCTGCTTGGCTCTTTGCCTGCACTTTTCAGACTGGAAACAGCAATCAGTGACCAGAGCACAGATGCCAGACATTTGGACAACAGAATCCTTTTTGCCCACCATGGCTCATGCAAACTGCTCCAAAAATCTATGCACGGCTGCCCACAATGTGGCTACTGGGTAAGGAATGGGTGCTCTGAAATTGACCAATAACCTTCCAAGACCTTCCCTAGAATTTTCAAGTCTTCAATGATCTACAGAATTCCAAATCAGTTATAGTAAGTCCTCACTCAACATCTGTGACTTTAAGTGAAACAATGTATAATGGAACCAACTTTACCATAAGCTAATTGATGTTAACAAGATTTGAGTGCCTGCGGCATCTCATCAATGTTATAAAACGAAATGATGAACAAAATGCTATTCAAGGACTCCACTGTACATCAGACAGATTTGGTCAGTTCAACTGCTAAGTGGAAGACAGATTCTTGGTGACTCCTACTCACCATTTTCCCAGAATCCTCTTGTCTTTAGTTTTTTCCACTTCATTTTGGTTCTCTAAGCAATACAGCACATTGTCCCTGATGTTGAACTTACATAAATGGAGTCACATGCTATATACAGGGGTGAGCAAAATAAGTTAATAATTATAATAATAAATACAACAATCAGTAAATAAATAATAATACAGGAATAAACTCTGTTCATGTTATCATAACTGTAAACCTACTTTTGCTCAACCTTGTATTCTATTTTGGCTACCTTAATTGATCCTATGTCTTTATAATTTATTAATGCTTTTGTATATAGTTGTAATTCTATTCAATTTCATCAATAGATGGTATTCTGATGTATAAATTAACCACAATTTATTTATCCATTCTACTAATGAAGGGCTTGGGACTGTTTCAACTCTCAAGGCTCATGAGCACAAGGGCACATGTGAATTTCTCTAGGCCATACATCTAGAGGCCAAAGTTTTAGGGTATGTATATTTTTAACTTAATTAAGTGTTTGTACCAATTTACACTCACATGATCAGAATAGGAGATTTTTCCATGCTTTACCGTCCAAACTAACACCTGGTACTGTTAGATGTTTTTCTGGCTCAGTCACTACAACATGGTAGCCCAACGTTATTCTACTTTGTTTTTCATTAATTACCAGTAAGGTTGAACACCTTTCATTACATGTATGTTTTGATGTCTTCACTTGGGAAGTCTTATTTGTCTATTTTTTAATCCGATTTTTTTTTCTTAATGTAAACTGTTGGTTCCTTTACTGATGAACAAAAGTTGCTAATTTTAAGAGTCAAATTTATAATTTTTACCTAGCATTATGTGGCTTGGTAAAAACAGTCCCTTACCTTAGGACGTGAAGATTATGTAAATTATCTTCTAAAGCTGAACAAAGAATTAGGTTCTGGGTAACCATCTGCCTCCTGCTCAACACCCGACTGCTGCAACAGTGTACGGGGGACTAAGCTGAGGTTTCCTCCGATAATCTGGTCGCCCTGCAATCCTGCGGCTCCAACACGCTGGGGTCTCAGCCCGAAGCTAGGGTCATTTCACCGGCGGGGGGGTGGGGGTGGGGGGGAGCCACCCCGGCAGCCCCTGGACTCCAACTCTCTCACCTCTGCAGCTCTGGATCTCCCCACAGTGCACTTCGCCTGTCAGACGTCTCTTCCCAACTGGTAAATACCCCGTCTCCCCCAGTACAGAAGCAGCTCTGTACCGCCTTTCTACGGCATGTGTATTTTTAAACACAGTGAGGCTTCCTGACTACTTCTTTAAAAGAAGGTACGGAATGCTATGAGAACCCAGAGAAGACGACCCTCATGGGGAATAAGGAGTGGATAACCAGAGAGTAATGAGTAATGGTCAGAAAAATGTCTAAGATCAAAAATTAAGATTGAGTAGGGAAGAATATCTTGAGCGTCAGCAGGGATGTGCCAACACAGGATGCATAAAAGAGCAAACTGAAATTGACTAAGAAACATGTAATGTGGTTCTACTGACCATTAAATCAAAATAAGAAGAAATAATAATCATTACCTGCAATCTGTACTGAGCCATCTTCTCCAAGAAGAATATTTCCCGCTTTCACATCTCTTTAAGAAAAACAAAAGTTACATATTAAAGTAACATGTATTCTTGGGAGTCACATTAATTTAATCAATTGTTTACTACGTTCATACAAATGACAATACTTAAGTGATATATCTCCATTAAGGCCAACAGTAACATTTTTAAAATTCTACTCACTTGTACTAGAATCCAAACATTGTAAACAGAAAGCTAGAATACATACAGCATTTTAGTATAAAATCTAGAAAAACCCAGATGATTATTATATTGGATAATAATAGTAGCCAAAGAATCTAACCCTCTCCTAATTCTACTTTATAAAATACATTATTTTTTCTACACTCTAATACATGGTAAGTGGTTGAAAATAGGGATTATTCTATGCATAAATACAGATATAAATTATTCAAATATCTATTTTATTGGTAACTATAGCAACTCAAGTAATACATGGATACATTCTTGCTATAAAAACCTAAACATCACTGAAAAGGCCAAAGTCCCTTTTGCTCCTATTCTCAAGTCTAGTATTCGCTCCAAATTTTCAACCGTTATCAGTCTGATTAATGGCATATTCCTATAACATATCTGGGTGTTTCTCCCAACATAAATGATATCCCACTCAATGCATTCTACAACTTGTCTTCCTCATGCAACAACATGCAAGTAGTATCTGGTAAAATGTAAAATCCTCAAGTCCCATGAGTAGCGAATCCGCTTTCTGATAACCTAGAGAAACTCCCACGATGCCCAGGAAATGTACAAGGGGGTTCATTGTAGCATTTTTTGTAATAACAACCCCAAATGATAACAGCCTAGAAAGCCAACAACAGCAGAACGTAAAATTAATTCTGTTACATCCATGAAATGCAACAAGGTCAATCAATATGTTATGACTTGAAATGGCCTGTAATACACACTGCTCATTGAACAAATCAAACAGAACAGTCCATTTTGCGTGACACCATTAGTGTTACACAAACACACACCTTTCCATATACACCAAATGGAGAGCACGAATGGTTTCTTTTGTGGAGAGAACTGGGACTGGAGTCAAGGGGAACAGTATTTGAGTATTTTGTGGGAATACCCACCTTAAAAATAAATATAATTAAATAAACTAAAGAGAGCCATCCCTTGAATCTAGACAAGAAAGAAAAGCAAGGCGAGCTCCTGGAGGAAGGCCTTCTTTGTAATGAAAAGGAACCAGTAAAAAGCACAAGGCTTTCTGCCCTGGCCAGTGTGGCTCTGTGGAATGAGTGCCAGCCTCCAAACCAATAGGTCTCCAGTTCAATTCCCAGTCAGGGCACATGCCTGGGTTGCGGGCCAGATCCTCAGTTGGAGGCATGTGAGAGGCAACCAATTGCTGTATTTTTCCTATATCAATGTTTCTTTCTCTTTCTCCCTTCATTTCTCTCTCTCTAAAAGTAAATAAATAAAATCTTTTTTTTTTTTAAATGCATGGCTTTCTCATTTTCCTGTCCATCTGGTTTTCCTGCCTCTTCAGACAGAACCATCCCTTGGTAAACAATCAACAACAGCTTCACAACTATGCGGAGCAGCATCACCATACCAAGAGTACACACCCTTCCTAAATATATGCTAAAGCATAAGAAAACTATGTTACCCTTTTGTACTGCTTATAAATCCCAACAATTTACAGGACCTCTTCCCAGAGGCTGACTTACGGTGGAGGCTAACTCACTCTGCGCTACAAAGCTGAAGTCTCTGACTCTGCATGCTATAAACAGAAAAGAAACGGAGACCATCCCCTTCCCTTGGTGACAAAGACTATTCAACTGAGTCAGCCATGAAGCGTCAGCTCCCTTTTTTTCTGAGCTCATCTGGAATATCACCTAAAACTCAATGAAGAAACAATGTACAGTTTAGTCACTTCCTCCTATTTTTTTTTATAGCAGGCTACGATACAATGTTAACACAGATCACACACAGAAATAGGAACATATTTCTGGATCTTTCTCTCTCATCTCATCATGAGCCATAGCTGGGCCTGTATCATAATACATTTCGGTATCACCTGCACTTATTCAAGTACTATGATTAGAACACAGGAGCATCTCCCAGATATTCATCAAGTAGATTTAAAAACCAAATAGGACACAAGCTGTCTCAGATCCTCTTATAGAGGTCGTGTAATATTAAATAAATAAAGAAATCCAACAAAACACTAAAATAAAATTTGACTGTTTTTGGAGAGACGTAGAGTATTAAATCAAGCAATCTAACTAAATAACAAAATAAAACATGACTGTTCCCTCCGCATCGCCCCAACTCCCACCTCCTAACTCTGTTCTAAATTTTAGGGTTATAAACCAACACAGTGCAGTCCAACAGGAGAACCCTGACTACCCATCAGAAGGAGACCAGTTACACTATACATCTATACAATGGAATACTATGAATACTAATGAAGGTATGTGTTGACATGAAGCAATCTCCAAATACGTTTTAAGTGAAGAATATTGCATATAGTATGTTGCCATTTGCCTGGGCTTGCTTTCTTTTTAGCAGGAGGGAAAGGGGTAATACATACATTATGTTTATATTGACCTAAAATCTCTCTCAAAGGAGTCACAAGAAAATGGCAAGAAGTGAGTTCCGTTCAGACCAGGGTACTAGAGGTTCAGAGAAGGAAGAAGACTATTTTATGTTTTAGAATAGTTTTAGATTTGCATAAAAAGTGAGGAGATAATGCAGGAAAGCTCACATACACCCCATACTCAGCTTCCCCTACTGTTAGTATCTTACATTACTGTGGCGCTTCTGCCACAATGAACGAACCAGTCAGCACTGACGCATTACTGTTAACTACAGCCCACCACGTATTCAGATTTTTAAAGTTTTCACCGAATGCCCTTTGCTGTCCCAGAACCCCGTCTAACACACTATACTAAATTTAGTCGTCATTCTCCTTAGGCTCCTCGTCTGTGACAGTCTCTTCGCCGTTCCTCGTTTATGATGACCTTCACGGTTCTGAGGATCGCATCTAGTATTCTGTAGGATGACCATCTAATGAACTTGTATTAGATGGGGTTATGCGTCCTTGGGAGGAAAGTGCCGTTGTTACCACATCGTATCAAGAGTACACAGTATCAATACAGCTGAGCCACAGTTGACATTGACATTTTTTATCATATACCATTTTGTGCTCTTTGAACTTTTTAAGCCATATATATGTATTACTTATGTAAATAGTGTTTTCCAAGTTTTTATCTTTAGTAAATGGAGACAGTCATCCATGTTCAGTGGAATTTCATAGTATGCTGTCCCTGAGCAATCTGTCAGAAAATCAGTCCAGGCTTCCCTTTCGAAACCACAAGTGCAACCCGTCGAACAGCTTCCAGGAGTAGAGACGCAGGAACTGCATGCAGCGCCAAGACTCCCTGGACACCACAGTCTGTCCTCACACACGACAGGATGACTGGCCTTTCAAGAAAAAGATTTGTAACCAAATGTCTGGCAATCGGCATCATCCTTGATTAAAGAACCACGTTTACTCTGCTACAAAGAACGTCAGGCAACCCAGCAGCCCCAACAGTTAAACCCTCCGTCCACTCGTGAGCAGCAGGAGCAGTGGGCTCTGTTTTTCAGTTTGATGCCATTCATTTCTCATTTGTCACTACTGCACCCAAGTTACAAGTTCCTTTTCAATTTAGCAGGAATATCACAGACATGCTTGACTTTCTCATTAGTACAGAACACAAGTTTCTCCCCATAACATTTTTATGACTCATCAATCAGTACGGTTCATGGAAAACTTGGAAAAGGTCAAGAGAAGAAACAAGTCAAAACAAAAGCTGGCAGACACACTGCACTTAGGCATCTCACACTGACTAAACATCTACCACTTCTGTTATCCTTAACATCTTTAATAGGAAAAGTATTTGGGGAGGTACAGAGAGAAGCGTAAATCTAGTTCGGAGACCTGTTCACCCTAGTCAAAACCCTCTCAAGGCCACAGGGTCACGGGGAAACAGCGGAGGTGGGGGAAAACTGTTTGACCTGACCCACCGGGCTGACACAAATCCACCTGAAAAAGTTGGACTTCAAAGATAAGAGAAGTAGCAAAACCTACTAAAAACATCCATCTCTGTTTCCCGGTAAAACAGCTTCCTCCCAAGCCTGTGGAAGTCTCAGGGTATTTCAGCAGTCATAGTTCTCAGCCTTGGCTGCACGTAAGAACAATGGGGGAAGCTTTGGAAAGTCCCCATGCTGAGACCTCATCCCAGACCAATTAAATGAGTTGCTGGCAGTAGATCCAGGAATCAGTACTTATTAAAATTTCCCAGGTAATCTCAACATGTAGCCAAGGTTGAGAGTCTCTGATTTAAAGAGTGACATAGAGAACAGCCATTCCAACAACACGGCAAAGCAGGCGTGGCTGGCAGAGGCTCTCATCTCTGCTACCCAGGCCTCTCCCCCAGCACACACCACTCCCCTGCCACAAACACCACGAAATGCGGGCTAGATTACGGGGAAATGTGTTACATGGCTGAACACAAAATAAAAGAGAAAACTGGAGTCTCAGAAATGTGAAAGGGACAGTTAAAAACCACAACGGTGAGCCGTGGGAGACAGAACAGAGAGACACTGTCCCCCGCTGGCTCAGGAACCCAGGATTTGAAACCCACCCCACACAGAAGACACGGCTCTGAGCGGGGTTAAGGGCGGGAGACAGAATGCAGACCCCTCACGGAGCCAGGACCCTGGGGAGACCTCATCCCCTCCCAGAGGTTCCACCTCCACATACTGTCACACGGGACACGGGGTTTCAACGTGCAAACTCGGGGGACGCACACTCAGGGTAAAGCTCCCCCTGCACGAGCAGTGGCTTTTCTCCTGCTGCAACTGTGTGGAGTCTACGTACAGACCTCTTTCTGTTTATCTTCACCCTGGGTCATTCAGCTTCTTGAACTTGTATGTAGATTGCTTTTCTTCAGATTTGGAAGTTTTGGGCCATTATTTCTTTCCATATTTTTTTCTGTCTCGTGCACTCATTTAG